CTAGGATAAATGTGACACACTTTGGACACGCGCCTGCTATGTCTTATTTTTTACTATTTACACATCTTCATCAACCTTTTTTTTTACTTACGTAAAGATTCCTCGACAGTTGGAAATCGAAAATAAGAGTAGGCTAATGTCGCTCTCCTGACAAAATTTCCCTCATTGCACACTGCATGGCGTTTGCCCATCCTCAGTAGCCCATACAGGTGCAGAAAAGTAGGACGTACAATTTTATTTTATTTCATTTTTTTTCTACGGATTTCTTATACAAACGTATGATGCTAAATTTCATAGCAACACTAACAGGGCCTTTTGGGATGTATGCTAATTTGGTGTAAACAAAATGGTGGAATTTCTACTTTCGTTTCATTGCAAGAAATTCAATTTATATTAACACGGTCTTGTCTGAACCAGACAAAATCCACTACAAATTACTCAGTGTCGACTAATATGTCACTGAAAGAAACAATTATATCAAAAAGGCTGACATTTCATGAATTTTTAGAGATTTTTTTGCCACCTGGATGGCGAATAGTCAAATTAATGGACGTGCACTATTCGCCACCCGGGTGGCGAATATCCACGGCCCTAAAAGAAAAGTCAAAGTTCATGCTAGTCAGGGAATTCCTGTCTCAAACAGAAGAAGGGGCTAAGGAAACCATAGTTAGATCACATTCGAGTGGATCATGTTATTTTCTTTGTCATCTTTTCAGTTTGCTACAGACCTGCTGCAAGGAGAAGTTGAATATCTGGACTCAGCTTTTGGTTTTATAAGATAAGACTAGAGTCAAACAAAGTCACAGTAGAAAGTTGGCTAGGCTTAGGCCCAGTGACCTAGGCTAGGTTTAACTTTATATAGAACATGTCAAATGAAGCGCAATAAGCCATGGCACTATCTCCAGTGGGCATTCATCCAGTACTATACCTTGAAATTTTGACAAGGGCATTGAAAACTTGAAATTAGTCCAATAAAAAAAAGATTCATTGGCCTCCATCTTTAATTCCATGTGAAAGTCACGTGATGTATGACCTATTTTATGACGTTATGTCACATGACGTCTAGACGACATGTGAATGAAAATTGGGCCACAAATATGATTCACATTGCACAAATGAAAACAAAGTGTTTTGAGCTTGGTTCTCTTCTACAGCACTCCAAATCCAACCACTAATATTCCCATAGTGACCCTCATACATTTCTTGTACTGCAAAAGTGCTAATCATGGTGGTGGTGTAAGAAATGTCATTTTCTAATTTGCCACAAAATTTGAGGAATGGGACAATGAATATTATTTTTGCGGCCAAAGCTAAGACTGGCAGCAGAAAGTTCTGTTTCTGTGGGGAAACCTTGTTGTACCCGTGTCCCTGTACGGATACTCTCCAGTTGATCACAAAAGATTTTTGCTTTATTCTTCTTGTTTTCTTTAGTATAACCAAAATATGATCTTGAAAAAAAATACTTTGTGTAAATAATATCGTTTTTTTGGCAAGTTTTTCATGGCTCAAAGATAGTGTTATATTGATGATGGTTCTAATTAAACTGAGATGGCTCACCACATAATGCAGCTAGGACACAGAATCATTAATGCTCCATTACTGCACATATAAACCCATTTGCATTGAACATCATATTGGCATTCATTGTATACGCCATCAGAAATATGACCAGAAAATTGTTCAGTATTTGAAACAAGAATACTGGAGCAACATTCCAAAAGTGGCCATTGAAAAGCACTATAAAATGCTGGAGGAGGGGGTCAAAAATGAGAGATGTCTTTCTGAGGCAAGGCCTGAAAGGCTGAAGAATCTCAAGGCCACTGGTCATAGGGGAGGGCCATGGTCCAAAACTTCTGTCTAAATACACCACTGGTCAAGCAATTTTTTCATACAGCTAAATTTGACAGAACAAAGAAGTTTTTTTTATTAGTAATTTATCAAATAAGGCATAATTTAGTTTTCACAATTTATCACAAGCACAATACAAATATGATTGACCAGTCCCATTCAATTTCAGTAGAGTTGTCATCCAGCCAATACATCCATAGTCAAAATTAGCAAAAATTCAGTTTTATAGAATTATTAACCAGTCTGTTCTGTAGGTCTCATAATAACATCATTGATCTGAAATTATGAATAATTTTTATAAAATAGCCATAAGGGTAGGTTGAATTGATAAAGTTATTTCTCTTTACCTAATTTCATATTTCTCAAATATCTGAGCTACAATTGAATGTAATTACTAAATATAATTTTTGATAGATAGACAGATTTAACAATTGCTGTTAATAGTTTTATTAAGACAAACAAATATAGCCATCTTCAATTATACAGGCAATAATGTTTTTGTTAAATTGTAGGATAACTGGATGTCTGATCTTAATTCTGAAAAAAGCTACGAATGAATAAGAAGTATAAGTTAGGAAAGCAATCATGTAGACAAATTGGTGTTTTGTTAAAAGATCTCTAGCTACATACCTCTACATGTGGTGGTGATTGTAAAATAAATACTACAGTATCAGCTATATCTTTTGGAACCATACACTGAAACACAGTAGAATATTAGGTGAGGATTTAATTATATACCTTTTGAAGGAACTTGTAACAAAACTAGACCATCCTTTGGCCATGACCAACTCACACAGTAAAAATAGACTACAATGATGTGGGCTATTCTTCCTTAAAATATAACTGGATAGTAACATAAACAGGGATCAAGTAAAATAAATAGCTCAAAATAGTGTTTGTGCTTCATACAAAGTTTGCCCTGCTCTCTGAACAAAAACAAGAAGTGAGCCCTGAGATATTTACTAACTGAATGAGACTTTACACTGTTATTGTCAACCTGACTACAAATTCTTCTCATATCCAGGCTGAGTTAAAAGTTCCACAGTTATAAAACAAAAGACTGACAATAGAGTGAACGCTTTTTTATAGTTTTTAAACTATTATCAAGTATTTAAAATTACCTTACCTTAATACTAGAATAAAATTTTTGGGCCTTTTCTTGACTTTGATTCATTCTTTCTGAAAACTCAGTCTCTACCACTCCAGGACTAATTCCCTGTAATATGAATACAGGGTGTAGATGTTTAATTTGGCCTAGGGCATCTCATATGATAATATAAAATATGCACCTCTTCTTATTGAAGCAGGAAAATCTATACCATACAATGCACAACCAGTCCATATGAAAACTTAAAACAAGTTGGCATAACATTTACAACCTATCATTTCAACTGACAGTATGCTAATTAGTCATCTTGCATATTGTGTACATGAGTGTAGTGTCCAATGCTGTGAACACCTGTGGTTGTACATGTATATAAGAGTTATGTCCCTTAGTTTAAGATGCCAATAATCAAGATGTCCTATGTTTGAATAATGTTTCATTTTAATCATGATATTGAAATATTAGAACAGAACCTAAAGAAAACATATTGTTACTCAAAGTTTCCGGCTGTGCGATCTTCAGACAAATGACCTATTTTCAGCGGGTGTCCCTAGTGAAGTTGGACGAGTAGAACTTATTATCATGTCTACACTTCGAGACGAGTTTGGAACGCTTGTTATGTGTTCAGGCAGAATACAATTTGTACTCACTGTGACTCTGATATGAGAGTTTAATTCTCGTAATTCTTGTCTTGTACCTTCTACTAAAGCTGTTACAGCAAATTTAGATACACTGTAGAAATGTACTGAACTTCTTGCCAATACTCTGTGACCAGAGATACTGAAATAGCAAAGATTCCAAAAATAAATGAAATTATCAAAGATACAAATTCTTGAAGAATTAAGTATTTGGCCACTATCAATAAATTAAAGATGGCATTAAAGTTAGATTGTAATGTAATTAAATAAGATGTAACAGTTCTTCTCAAAAAAAAAAATCTAAATTTTAAACAGTAACTTAAATCAACCAACTGCCGTCAATGCTTTCCAATTATGTGCCTCATCTTAGTATTCTAATGACACTTGCTTACACCTATCAGTACTTTCTATTTAAACACCAATTCAGTATCCATAGGCCTACCTATTAATAAATATAAGTTGACCATCATCTATTCCTCTTTCTTTCATTGATTGATAACTTTCTCTATTCACTATAGCACAGGCTAGCACGTTAACCTGGAATTACAAAATAACAACACACTATAGCACATGCTAGCACATTTACCTGGAATAACAAAATAACAACTTACTATAGCACATGCTAGCACATTTACCTACAGTAAAAAAAATAACAACTCACTGTAGCACATTAACCTGGAATTACAAAATAACAACTCACTATAGCACCGCTAGCACATTAACCTGGAATTACAAAATAACAACTCATCATAGCACCACTAGCACATTAACCTGGAATTACAAAATAACAACTCACTATATCATCTATTTCTTTCATTAATTGATAACTTTCTCTATTCACTATAGCACAGACTAGCACGTTAACCTGGAATAACAAATAACAACTCACTATAGCACATGCTAACACACCTGGAATTACAATATAAAAACTCACTATGGCACAGGCTAGCACATTAACCTGTAATAACAATATAAAAACTTCCTATACCATGTACTACTGATACATATACCAGAATAACAAAATTACAACTCACTATATCACATGCTAGAAAAACTAACTGTAGCACATTAACCTGAGATAACAAAATAACAAATACTTGCACATTAACCTGGAAAAGGAAAATAGAAACTACTATAGCTATAACGCTTACCTGGAATAACAATTCACGATAACACAAGCTAGCACATTAACCTAGATTAACAAAATAACAATTCACAATAGCATATGCTAGTATGTTAAACTGGAATTACAAAACAGAAATTCATTTTAAAGAGACAGGTGCGCCATTATGGGGGGTTGATTCAAGTCTTGAATACATGTAAATAGTCTTCAGAAGTACTAGACATGTGCGAAAATCGCATAATTCCTTCAATAAAATCTCGAACTAGGAATTTTACTCACTATTTCTATATGTCTTTTCTATACATTACAGAGTATCTTAAAATGACGAATTGTCATTTTAACATTCTAACTTGGATAATTCCGGACACACAAGGTTAAAATTTCGACAGTGAGCTGTGAACACTATTACTGATTAGTTTAGCTTAAAAATTCCTATTTCTGAGACTTTAGTATGATTGGTAAAATAGAATGTCCAACCTGTCCCTTTAAAGTAATGTGATTTTTGCATATCAAGACATATCAAATTTTATAAATAATGATCTATTTTGAAAAGACCCGCCCTATGAGTTTTAGTAATGTTAAGAACACCTGATACCCCAATTTTATATTAAAAAATTGTTCTGTTATCAGTAATAATAAGTCGTTTATCATTCATAAGTCAAATGGACCTGGTATCAGCAACTCTTGTGCATGGTGTCTTTTTGGGCTATATTATTCAGCACAACCCTCAGTACAAGTTCCAGTTCTGTGAAAACCATGAATAAAAGACACATAAAGAGTGAATTACAGAACTTACATTAAGAATATTGGCCCAATCCTCTGTTTTTCCTGATAATAATGGTGCATTATGGGCGAGTCCAGCGTTATTAATACAAACATCTACACCACCTAAATTACTATCACTCTTTATTTCTTTAAACATCTTTAATATTTCTTCTTCTTTAGTTAAATCACATTTTATAGGATAGACTGAACCTTTCTCAGCCTTTAAATCTTCTTTAATTTTCTGAAAAAAGATAAAGTTTAAGTTATCTACTTCCATAGAAAGTTTAATGTTTAAAAGTAGAATTTGGCACTGACACAATCAACAGCCATTTTACCTTCAACCTTCTATACTTTTAATTAACCATTTTAAAGCAAATTCAGTTTGATCAAGTTGATACATAGAAGTATATCGTATATTTCAAAATTATTTTCAGTTATAATTTGCACAGTTTTTGATAATAAAAATTATTTTACTGCTAGAAATATTTAGCTTACATAAATAGATTCCACATTTCTGGCACAACCAACAACTTTCATACCATGGCGGACTAAAGTTCGCAGTAGTTCAGCACCTATACCAGCTGAAGCACCAGTCACTAAAGCCACTTTACCAACCCATCTCTCCATTGTGTTCAACTTTCCTCAAGTGTCACTATACTAAACCTGTATGTTTAAAAGAGTATATCAATGTAAATAATGCTGAATAATAAAAATCCAAAGTTCAGACAATCTTGAATTTCATATCATACACACTGATATTTGAACAAATTCAGTGTCAAATTTTAACAATTGTTTTCTGATAACTGAATCCAAATGCCTCATCAAATTTAATGTCCAACTATATGTAATTGTTGAATCTCAATAAAGACTTGAGTACAACATATAGCCTATTTATCTTCATGATTATGCAAGTCATTCAAATATAAAGGAAAGTATCTAAACCCATGAGTCAGCATAATTATTCAAATAGCCATATTTTATATAGATAATAAAATAATAAGATAGTGGACCACAGCCATATACGCCCACCACGGCATGCAGATGGTAAATATTCAAGATTTTGGGGCAAGGGCAATAACTCTGCTTCTAACGGTCGAAAATAGCTCAAATTCCAACTTGATCTTCGTTTTATAAATATGTATACACATACCAAATTTCATTTTCATTTCGACGGATGGACAGGGGTGCCGACAATATACGTCCACATAGAGAGATGTGGGTGTATAAAAATGTGACCCCCAAAACAATATAAAAGTAAAGGGAAAAATGCGCAGTACAGATTGTATTCTATTTTTAACAATCATGTACATTAAATGACAACTTCAGAGCCATAACTTCATAAATTGAAAATGGAAATTGAGGCAAATGCCTCATGGGGAATTTGACCAAAAAATAACTGTTCAAAAAAACTAAAACATTAACAAGATAGGATGTCTATGAAAAAGGTGGTTCGAGTTTGAAGACCCCTCTATCGTCAAAAATTTTGTTTGCTTCATAGAAAAGAGACCCTAGTTATGGACCTAGACTTTTCAGCTTTGACTTGATAAGTTAAGAGAATATGATGAGACCTGGCTTACCTCAAGATAGAGACAATCTACAACTGACTGAGAAAGACTCAAGATAAAACAACATCTGATACTGTTTAAACAACACAAATACGGGTCAATAGGTCAAAATTTAAATTGTCTTTATGACATGATAAAAATATATCACATATTATTGATTTAATATATCTACTTCGTGGGACAGATTCGCCATTTTCAGGGGTCTTGAATATATGTAAAAAATACTAGAAATGTACAAAAATCACATCATTCCTTCAAAAATACCTAAAACTAGGAAATTCACTTTTTATTTCTGTACAAGTCGTCATTTTAACATTCAATTGCGGATAATTCTGGACAAAACATGGATTTAAACACCTAGTGCCATCCTACATCTTGGTTTGTCAACAATATAAATGCAACATTGCTACGATTAAGTATTTTACAAACTTTCATGGGGACTGATGAATTTAATCTATTACAACTGGACTGGAGACTGTGCTTTTGAAATGTTGAAAAGGGGAAAGGGAGATGGAGAAATGCCATCATTGTCTGTTGTCAGAATGTGGTCAAGGTATGAAGGTGTTTCGCCATGGCACATACTAAATAGGTGACACAGAATTTGAGTTATCTTCATGGTTGTAGAGTTTCATCTATTAATATTGTATGTATAAAGCAATTCGTAAAAAATATAAGATCACTCAGAAAAAACATTTTATTATAAAATTGATTAATCAAACATATCTTTCACAAATTTACAAAAATGTACATAAAGTCCATAAATTTTGGCTACAATATGCCAATATGTCTTCTTTGGTTGTAAAAATTACAAATTTCAAGTAATAGATTACATTTTAGAAAGATACAAGCATTAATTAGACACAAATATTCAAGTTTTCATCTCTGTTCTATTGAGATAAGATATTGCTTCTCTTTATAAGTATCATTAATAACGCCAGACTTCAATATATTTTTATATCTTAACAGTAGAATTTAACTGAGTTGTTGAGTGGGTCTCATCAAAATATCATTAATCTGAAACAAATAATCAAAATATTTAAATATCAATGAATGAGCAAAAGTAAACAAAATTATAATCTCACAAGATCACTTAAAAATATTTCAAAATATACAAGTAGTACTGGATACATCAAATTCCTCTGATTGTACTGTCTTCTGCCATTAAAGTCCATTTAGCAGTATATTAGCTAGCAATGTGAGACCTACCTCAACATGCTGTGGTAACTGTAATATAAACAATACTGTATCACTAATATCACTAACATCCATACACTGTCAAATAGAAACCAGAATGCATGAGTTTAAAAAGACAATTTACTCCTTTTCAGCTTTATAGCAAGACTGGATTTAGATTTAATTCTGAAAAGCACTTACAGATATCTGATATTTAGATGGATTAGAAGACAACTTTATCCCATCAACAACCTTACGACAACTCATCCCAGATATCATATATATATGTAATCAAAACCTTATAACATATAATGGGTCACATCCATGGACACAATAAATAGACAATGATATTATCCTTTGTCATTAATATTCTGTGACTGTTTTAAAAGGTAATGCTAATAACTTTGAACAAACCTTATATGAATTAAAATATGAATCCCCTTTAGATTTATCTTTAAACATCTTTTCTGCAAAATTTGTGACAATGTTACCAGGACTGACACCCTACAAAAATAATAATATCAATTCAAAATGATTTATACTGCCAAATTACCAATAAATTTCCATCTTATAGAAGATAAGTTATATAAACAAAAGACTATCGAATAAAAGAGATATTACTCAAACTTACTGTGACTCTGATATGAGAGTTTAATTCTCGTAATTCTTGTCTTGTACCTTCTACTAAAGCTGTTACAGCATATTTTGATACACAATAAAAATGGTTTGGAGATTCAAAGGCTACTCTATGGCCTGACATACTGAAATGAAAAAAAATGTGGACAATTGTCAATGTAATTTATCAAAATAATGATAAACGTTACTTAGTCTGTTCTGTAGATGTTGAATAGCATGTCATGTCTTTGTCCTAACATAGAGTTTTTTTTAAAAGTTAACAAAATTATAATACATACCTATTAATAAATATAATATGACCATCATCTATTCCTCTTTCTTTCATTGATTGATAACTTTCTCTATTCACTATAGCACAGGCTAGCACATTTACCTGGAATAACAAAATAACAACACACTATAGCACATGCTAGCACATTTACCTAAAGTAAAAAAATTAACTCACTATAGCACATTTACATATGATAACAATTAACTATAGCACATGTTAGCAAGTTAAGGTAGAGCAACAATTAATTATAGAACAAGCTAGCACATTAACTGGTAATAAGAAAATAACAACTCACTATAGCACAAAGTTAAACTATCAGTAAAGGAAAAATCTTACATCTAATATTTCTTTCCAAGCTTGAGTACTTCCAGATAATAATGGTGCATTGTGGGAGAGTCCGGCGTTATTGATACAAACATCTACACCACCTAAATTACTATCACTCTTTATTTCTTTAAACATCTTTAATATTTCTTCTTCTTTAGTTAAATCACATTTTATAGGATAGACTGAACCTTTCTCAGCCTTTAAATCTTCTTTTAACTTCTACAAGAGAAACAGTTGCATGTATAAAAATTGCATGAAAACTTTAGAACCCATTGACTTCATTAGAGTCAGAACAATTTTGAAAAAAAAGTGACAACAAATTTTGCATTTTTTAGTCTAGAAACTTCAAGTTAAGACAAATATCCATAGACTTCATCTTCCAGTTAATATTCATAAAACCATGGTGACAATACAGCCAAACTTTTCTAGGTGGGTTACTATATTGAAAGTTTTCTAGGCTATTTTGACCAAAGGTGCAGGAAGATCAATTGCAAACAGTTCTACCTTGAGCAAATCATTTAAACTGTAAGTGTTTCTTTTAGAACTACAGGGTCTTGTAGAATGTTAACACCTTTGAAATTCAAATATCAGGCAAAAGAATTTCAATTTACCTGCAATTTGTCCAGACTTCTAGCACAGGCCACCACCTTCATGCCATGTCCTACAAGAGCCTTCACAATAGCTGCACCGATTCCTTCTGAGGCACCTGTCACAAGAGCCACTCTTCCACTCCATCTCTCCATTTTAAAATTCTTATGGAATTCAGTTATTGTCGTTGATTGTATAAAAATATTAATATGTGTGCATCGGTTCTAGGGATCCCAGACCAAAAAAATTCATGTACCGGTATTGTAAAATATTGTGTGGTTATATGTAACTATCAAATATCACAGCCTTATCTCTACTTCAGTTCAAGCAGGTCATGTAGTTATATATTATTACAAGTATTCTAGAGTTACTTTATACTGATATCTCATGTTTTATTCAGGTCAAATTTAATAAACTCTATATCTTTTACTTTTAGTGTTAGGTTATGGTTACTGATTTTCTAGCTCCCACAAGAAGAAAGAAAGAAAGAAAGAAAGGAAGCAATCCACAGACTTCGTCTTAAGGAGAGAACTTGTAGACAGAAGTCTTAGCTTATATAGGCCTACTTCAATTAATAATTGGAAAAGTTGCAGACTAACCAATCTTATTGCATAAAGTGATCATAAAGGGCAAATACCTTGGTAATTCTGTTTTTTTTGCAAAAATGTATTCAAATCAGCTGCCAAAACATACAACTCAAAATGTTCGAGATTTCTAGGATGGAAGGGAGGCAATCCACATTTCAAAATTTCAGACAAAATATAATTTTTTGGATTCCAGAAACAAAGACATGCCAGCTGATTTGTTTTGTTTGGTCAGGCAAAAATTTATCTGATTGTCGCCCGCAAAGCAGATCATACTTACTCTTTTCTAAACACATGAAAGTACTTCTCTTTGGAGGAGTCCACAAATATACAAATTTTACTCTCGATTGGACGAGATTTTGAAGTGAAGATATGTAAAATTCAAACATTTTAATAAGATAAAAAAAATATAAATAAGAAAAAGTAGAAACAAAACTTATTTCTCTTACTGAGAAAATTAAAGACATCAATTAGCAGATTTTGGTGTTTAGACAATATAGAATAAGTTCCAACAAAATGACTGTAACACACAATACATGTGCTATAATCTTAAGATAAGACTATGATATCATCTATGATATGTACCAGTACCTAGAATTGTCACAGACATGGATTTCACTTTAAGTTCATTCATCTAATCAAATGTGCGACTCATACACTCTTGTTTATTTATAATAAATTAATGTAAACAGCTTGGAAAATTCTAAATATTTTCCATTAGTTATCTTTGCAAGGAAGTCTATGATGCATCAATTGTAATAAATGTAATAATGCATATCTTAATTTCATGTTAGTATTATTATTCAATATCTATTGAAAAAACATTATGCTATAACACAAAAGTTGAAGACTGGGTTATAATAATAATAATATAAGGAATAAGAAAGGAGTATATCACAGAATTCAACACATCACATATAGTATTATCAATATCAACTACATACAATATATCATTTTCACGTAACACAAATTGTACCAAGGCTTCATTTTCCAAATACATATGTAACATTCGAAATTCACACAGAACAACTTCATCTTTCAGAGTCAAATAATACAATACATTAATCTCCTAATTCCTACCAAATGATATATCATTTTCAGCCGTTTTTTTGCAAAATATTCAATTCTGTCTGACCCATTACAATGACCCTCTTTACAATCCCTTTTATCAGCCATATAAGCATCTTACAGCCACTTACAAGCATTATTACACAGATAAATACACAAACACTTACAACACATTCTCACAAATTCAAGTGCAAGAGCTTAAGCTTAAGCTGAAAGGGATAATATTGGCATAGGTATTTGGTTATATAACATAGGAAGACAATCACATAAATAAAGCAAAATATGGAAATAACTATTGTGCCCAACACTTTTCAATAAAAGTTCATTCTAATCAATTTAAAGTCATGACAATGGCTTGTTCTAACATGAATTCAGGTCATGTTTATTGTTAACATAAATTATGGAAATTATTCTATCAGCTTTTCAAATCCTACGATGAATCAAATCACACCCAAATTACATCTGATAAACAAAAGCATTCACATACACTATTAATAAGCAAGAATATCATTACTTTAATATAGACCAAACAATTGAAATTGACAGTAATATGCAGCAATTTTTGTAAACCCACCCTTATAACTCTATCTGATACTCTAGCAGCAAGATAGTAATGTGATCATAATAAAATGGCCTGGAACAAAGTCATACCTATACTTCATAATCATATACCAGTTAAATAACTTGAATTACAGACTTTATGATGCTTGATTTGTTAACAGAATCTGTCAAAAATCGTGTCAAAATTGTGTCCAAACTATTGACAATCTAATGTGCAATGATTATATACTGCACGTTAACTTCAACAAAGCAAGATAAAAATACTCTTTAGCATTACAAGTTATATTTTTAAACAAGGTATCACATAGTTTAGTGGTTTTGGTAACATAAAATTAGGATTCCACCAAGTTATAGCTGTGGTAAAAAACACATTAGCTTGACAAAATGCAGTCAACATCATTCGGTCAAATCCGGTTAATCAGAAATATTATAAATATATTAAGTAATAACATCTCACTGCTGTCAAAACTTACATAAAAACATACCTGAAGTATTTCTTGAATTTTTGCAAACACCAACATTTCACCTATTCATAACATGAACACTTTCCCTAGATTGATCTTTAGCATTCAATCTCAAAAGTAGTTTGGGTGGTAATATTTGTTTTGTCAGTTTGGAACAAAAGTCAAATTTAAATGAATCTTTGTGTTATAGATATTACTAAGAATCATACATACTCCATCACATGACTAGCCATTTCAATTTTCATCCAGCTAAGCTTGATTAGATTCACTCTCTCGTAAGTAATTCAATTTTCATTCTTACGTCAAATTGTCTTATTTTGATTTTGATTGATAAAATGACTTATATTGATGATTATTAATTTTCAAATGCAGATAAAGTTCTCTCTAAATGCAGATTAAGCAAGTTGAAGAGGTCACAATGCCAAGGCTTTGAGGTACCAGACAAAATGCTTACATAACAAATGTCCATTTAAGGAGCACTTATTCCACCAACATGTTTGAAGCGTCTTAAAGCAGAAAGACCAAGGTTTACTCATACTTTAGTTATGTATCATTAAAATAAGGATTTATTCTAGTTTGTCTCTCAACATGTGCTCTGAATAATACTTCATTTATCTGGAAATAATGTGGATTATCTGTGGATTTTAATTCAGGATCATATCCTTGTAAATCAGGATGTAAATTGCTGGATCCACTGGAATTAGATTGTCCATTTTCAACATTGTTATTTATATTATGATGACTATGTTGCGCAGCAGACACTCCAAGGGGAGATAACTGAGATGATAGAGAAGGTACTTCTGATGCTTGCTGATGCCAGTTTTCTTCTTGCACATGGTTATTACCATTTACCTGAAGAAAAAAAAAGTATGTTTCTGTACAAAGATCTACTAAAAGGATATGGTGTTAGAAGAGGTGTTACAGAAATAAATGGAAAGAAGTCCACTCTATTCCAGAAACAGAGTAGCCTTATGTAACCTTTTCTTAGGTCAGTTCTATTGAGGAAATCTAAAAAATCTTACTGGAGGTGTTAACTGGTTGTTATTATGAAAACCATTTCTTCCAGGTCTGAAACAAAAGAAAACCCATAACATAACATCATGTACTAGTATAGAAGGCTACCTAGTATGGATGGGCAGTAACTAATTTACCATGCCAGATGTAGCCTTTGATTTAAATTCAGGATAATTTACTCTCAAAGTGGGTAAATCTGATCAATCAATGAGATGAGGGAAACTCTAAGGTAGTATGATTAAGAAACTTAAAAAATTACTTAAAATGTTTTAGAGTCTGATGTTTTTGACAACATTCCAATATAGGTCACAAATATATTTACAACACAAATGACGAAAGAACATGTTTTCCAGACTAAGATTATGCTACACATGATCATTATAGTTATATTTCCTTACTGTATATGAAGACCATTGATTCTTTTTGATATTGGTAGAGATTCATCCCCATCCTCATCTACATCACTTCTAACTCTCTTTCGTCTTGAACTATCATTAGAAATATAAAAAATTTATAGTTGATATTCACAACTTAAAAGACAAATAATATGTCCAATTATGGACAGACAGTAGACTAAGCTAACCACAGCAGGCCTTTGTATACCAACACCTTTTACTGAAGTTTGTATTGAAATCTATCCCTCTGCTAAGCATGTTTCAAATTTTCTGGCATAAAGATGATTTGTATTTAACAAATTAAGGTTAGCCTATAATGTTGATACAAGAAGGCTAATTCCTAATCCAGACGATCAGCATCCCTAACTTTGAAAATAGAATTGACAAAGATCTGATTCATTCACTTGATACATACATTGTTCAAAATGTGGATCGTGGGAATTCATTTATATGAGATATTCTAGATTGTGTTCATACATGTTGACTAGACGATATTTATAGGAAATATTATTTTCCAGATAACAATTTAATGCTGAGTAAGGGATTTTAATGTTGCGGTCAGCGTTGGCAAAACTGAGACACCGAGTTATAAGTTTATAGTAACCCTTTTCCTATTCGATTTTAAATGGAATAGAGGAACGACTTCTATACCTTGAAGACGCAGCCATATCGAACGATCGTTTCTTTAATTCAATACAGCAACATACTTGACTACAATTGGAAATTTATAACTAAAATACGACAAAATTTCTTCCACAGCATTGCAAAAATACTAAGGTTGAAGGGAAGTAACTCTGTAAATGTTCACTAAATTATCTCCCTTTATTCTGCAACTGATTAAAGCTACCATGGCCTCTAGCTAAATAAAATTAAATAAGTTTTTCTGAGTGGTCCGTAACGATTAATAATTTGTAATTGTGGAATAGGAACAAAAAGGCATGTAATGCTACTGTTTGTTTGCACTTCTCAATAGGTTGGATGGCTGTAATGAGCCTTAGGATAGATAATCAATGTAATTAAATTATATAGTGGCTTAATAGATGGCCATAAAACTTATTTCTTTCATTATTTAGGCGAACAAAAAACAAGCTGGTTCTTCGACAAACTTCTTGACACTGATCTTTTCCTAACTTTCCATACTCATTTACAGCTGGGTCAAATAGACTATTGGACTGTTTTAATGATCAACCGACTTAAGCATCCTGTTTATGATTAGAACACAGATCCATCAAAAATTTTAGCTAACTGTTGAATTAGTCTAATTCAGTTTCTGTGCCTTTCCGAATTTTCATGGATGAAGACATATTATAAATCAATAACAGCAATATCTAACTTTATTTTCTAAAGGCACAATAATCTCACAACAGATCTCATTTATAAAGATCTAATATAATGCCATATTAACACAATGTAGTACTAATAAATTCATAACAATAAATTCAATGTATATTTATAATAATATCAAACAGTTGAAATATTTTCAAGACATTAAAGAAAGCACAAAAAAACAAAAAGTAAACTCTATAAACAGTAAAGAAATATTGCTAACTTAATGGAATACTATGATTCCATTAGTCCTATCACTTTTGCAATTGTGCAATTTAATATATATAAAAAAGAAAGATACTAGATTAATATTTGTTGCCTATAGGGTACAATCAAGGCAAAAAAACAATGTTGTCTCTGGCACCCGTTAATGGTCTTTTCCGTCCTTCTTGCTAATTTATGGGTGTTATTCATAATACCTCTGACATACTGTATAACAGACCTGCATTTGTTATAACATAGTCTGCAGCTATCATTGGAATGTGATATTCAGGTTGTCATTTGACGTATTTTTTCAACCTGGTTGCCCTCGTCTATGTATAGTCATGTTTGTAAAGTCTGACAATAAATTGGTAATATTCTCTACTTCATCGCGTGTTGAGACTGTTTTCAATTTTTCACATATTTCACCAATTTGTTGAGCATCTTCCGTGAGCCCTGATAGATTCAAATAGGTCTTCATCATGTCTGATACCTGAAATATTAGAGATGAGGCATGAGAAGCCTGTGTTGTTCATTCATTACAGGACAATTGATGTTGTGAACACTTATTTCAGAAAGACTGTTTAGGGTGCAACTTTCAATCTATGCTCATTGCTCTAACCTAACAAATTGATCATTGAAACAATAAATCTTGAATAAATAGTTGGACCATCCAGTAGAAAGGATCCAACTCAAACTGATAAAAAATGTGAATGTATTTTTCCCTCTTACCTCATAAACCTCATTCATTAATTTATCAGATGTGTATGATTTATTCTCATATAGAAGTTTTAATCTGGACTTGGCCATTGAGAGAGGTGTTCTTCCATTATTATCAACAGATTTTAAATTGGTACCTGAAGTATAAAATGTATCATGTAGACGATATAAGATGTCTTATGTAATAAATGCATAACATTAAGTATATTGTGACAGTACAAATTTGGCAATAGCAAATTAATAAGAAATGATTATGAAATGCTGAAGTTTAGCTTAAAAGCTAGCTAAAATAATCATTGTTACATAGAGTAGGTTTTGATTTGTGAATTGTCATTTAGGGTAATAGATAAGCTAGATAAGATAGATTAAAGTCATGGCCAGAACTCTTCTAATAATTTACAAATTACATTTTTTTGTGGACATCATATATGACACATTTTCAGACAAATTAAAATAATTACCTGCTTTTAAAAGTAAGGTTACTACTGGAACTTGGCAGGTACAAGCAGCTGAAAATAATAAAAAAATATTTTCTACTTCAGCAGTGACCTGTATTTTTGTGACCAATTTTTCCAGTACAAAACCCAGTCGCTTTATCAATTATCAATTCATGCCAATTTACTTGGTATAACCATACTAATTTACCCAGAAAAATTATATTTTATGTACCTTAATAACACAATAATTGGAGTACTATAAACACATGAAACACACAATATTTGATTTTTACAACTTACCTAGATGTAAGGGTGTATTTCCTACTATATCTTTCATATTGGGATCAGCTCCTTTATCTAACAATATCTTTACTGAAACATTATCAAATAAATCTATCTAATAAATTAGATTTTCAAACAAAAAATTTCTGAAAATGAATAATAATTAAATTTTGAAATAATTTTCATTTTAACAGACACAGTAATGTTTTTGTTTTGAAAATCAGTAAATTTGATGTGCTTAAATAGATCATCTTTCTGAAAGACATTAATTTAATTACTATAAGTATTACATATTTTTCTATTTTCCAAAATCATACACCCACCTGTCATTGCATGGCCTTGAGAAGCTGCCAAATGTAAAGAAGTTCTATTTTTAGAATCTTTAGAGCAAGGATCAACTCCATTTTCTAACAACTGTACAACTAAAATATAAATTATTAGACTGTTTTGTTTGGATATTAAGCCGAATTCAATGATAAATGGAAAGACACGGTTTAAAAACAAAAGATTAACAATAGAATGAATACTTTTCATTCCTTGACCATGGGTTTAATATTGTGTCAATGATCAATTGGTTAATTATTATTATGTTCAGTATTGGGCTGACTAAACTAAAACAAATTGAAGGTGCTCAACTTACCTAACTCATAGTTATTTTTCATTGCTGCAGTTCGAAGTTTCTTCTCCTCTGAAATGATCACTGATTTATAAGGAAGACAGGTTGGTCAAGTGGAAATATTTTTGTATTCTACAACTATAGCAAGCCAGTAGCTAGCACAAGACTTCATCAGGGGCCAAAATTTTGTAAGGGGGGCCCAACTATGTGATTCAGCATGTAATTCATGTTATCCACATTTTTCTTGGGGGCCCTCAGCTACGAGTGTGAGGCATCTTGATCTACACTGCAGCATGTTTCAATACTGGGGTCAGACATGCTTTTCAATATAGACTCTAAAACTTTATCTTCCAGTCAACATAGCGAAAACACTTTTGAATCTACTCACATAGTCTTAATACACTTTTGTAAATCAACTTACCTATAATATTTCTGCCAGTAGTCTGTCCATGTCTAAATTCATTCATCCGTTGCTGACGATGTAAAGATGAAATTTTCACTTTTCCAGTATGATTTGTTTGTGCATATTCATTTTGATATTCTTGATAAAATGGCACTAAACACATGAACTGTAAGCCAGCAGGACCTTGTGGATTCCAGTCCACAGAGAATTGGGGTGCAATATTTTCATTTGATGGTATCTGAAAGTGAAATATTTTAGGTTAAGCATGTACGGAACCCCTAAGGCGCAATTTTCCAAACTTTTATAAAATATTTCGTTTTCACGAAAAAATTAATTTGTTTAAATGAAATAATTTGCTTAAACAAAATAATATCATATATTTCGTTTAAACAAAAAAACTTTTAATTATTTCATTTAAACAAATTAATCATTTCGTTTAAACAAAAACTTTTTTAGTTTAAATGAAATATATGATATTATTTTGTTTAAACAAATTAATTATTTGGTTTAAACAAATTAATTATTACGTTAAAACGAAATATTTTATAAAAGTTTGTTTGATCAAAATAAGTATTTCGTTAAATAATTATTTGGTTTAAACGTAAAGTCTACTGCAAGGTGTAATACCAACAGTTCTATCAAGAACAACTAGGGTCAGATATTTCGAATTCTAACTTAGTTGAAGATATATCTATAAAACACAATGTAGGCCATATTGTTATGTTGTTTCAATGAATTTTAGCAATAAATTAATAAATTACTCTTACATTTTACTTATCTTAATTTGACAGTCATAATTTTTTTTGTCAAATTAGCTGGTTACAAATGAAATATGGGTAATTTTAATTATTTCATAGAATATCTGAAGAAATATCTAAGACTTAAAAACAAAATTCCGATTTTGACGAAGGCCGTGGATATTCGCCACCGGGTGGTGAATAGTCCACGTCCATTAATTTGACTATTCGCCATCCGGGTGGCAGAAAAAATCTAAAAAAATTCATGAAATGTCAGCCTTTTTGATATAATTGTTTCTTTCAGTGACATATTAGTCGACTCTGAGTAATTTGTAATGGATTTTGTCTGGTTCAGACAAGACCGTGTTAATATAAATTGAATTTCTTGCAATGAAACGAAAGTAGAAATTCCACCATTTTGTTTACACCAAATTAGCATACATCCCAAATGGTCCTGTTAGTGTTGCTATGAAATTTAGCATCATACGTTTGTATAAGAAATCCGTAGCAAAAAAATGAAATAAAATAAAGTTTTACGTCCTATTTCTGCTACTGAGGATGGGCACACGCCATGCAGTGTGTAATGAGGGAAATTTTGTCAGGACAGCGACATTAGCCTACTCTTATTTTCGATTTCCAACTGTCGGGAAATACACTGCATTGGAGTGGGTGGAAATATGTATTTGAAGTAATAAGGTTTAAGGTATAATAAGGCGTACGATAATCCACAATACTGACGAGTAGTAAGTAATGTGTACGGGTGGTAATAAGGCCTACGATAATACACAATACTGACGGGTGGTAAGTACTGTGTACCGGTGGTAATAAGGCCTACGATAATACACAATACTGACGGGTGGTAAGTAATGTATACGGGTGGTAATAAGGCGTACAGTAATACACAATACTAACGGGTGGTAAGTAATGTGTAAGGGTGGTAAACAAGTATTGGGGATGGTAAACAAGAGCTGAAGGAATTAGTTCTTGTTAACCACCAACAATTCCTGTTTACCACCCCCAGCTCTTGTTTACCATCCAAAATACTTGTTTACCATCCACAATACATGTTAACCACCCACAGTTCTTGTTAACTACTCACAGTTCTTGTTCATGTTAACCACCCACAATTCTTATTTACCACCCTAAACTCTTGTCCACCATAAGCTCTTGTTCACGGTCCTAGTTGTTGTCTCGACCCTCGGTTCTTGTTTAACATACCCAGCTCCTGTGCACCACCCTGGGTTCTTGGTTACAACCCTCAGCTCCCTACCTGTTGTTCATCACCATCATTTCTTGTATACCACCTTTAGTTCGTGTTTACCACCCCAACTCTTTGTTACCACCCTAGTTGTTTTTCATTAACCTAGCTGTTGTTTACCACCCTCAATACTTGTTTACCACTCTCAGCTCTTGTTTCATCAACCTAGCTGTTGTTTACCACCCTCGATACTTGTTTACCACCCTCAATACTTGTTTGCCACTCATAATTCTTGTTTACCACACTCATCTCTTGTTTCATTAACATAGCTGTTGTTCACCACCCCCAGATCTTGTTTGCCACCCTAAGCTCTTGTTTGCCTACTTAGTTGTTGTTCACCATCCCCAGCTCTTGTTTACCACCCTCAGCTATTGTTCACCACCCAGGGTTATTTTTACCACCCTAGCTGTTGTTTACCACCCGTAAGTCTAGTTTAACAGCCACAATTCCACCTACTCTTGTTTACCACCCTCAGCTCTTGTTCGCCACCCTCGGTTTTTGTCTACTACCCTCCGTTCCTGTTTACCACCCGCAGATCTTGTTTACCACTTCCAGCTCTTGTTCACCACCCTCAGCTCTTGTTCACCACCCCCAATACTTGTTTACCACTCACAATTCTTGTTTGCCAACCTTAACTTTTGTTAACCACCTTAAGCTCTTCTTCACCAGCCGAAGCTCTTGTTGTTGTTAACCACTCTCGGATCTTCTTTACCACTCTCGGCTCTTTTTTACTACCCTAGATGTTATTCATTAACCCAGCTCCCGTTTACTACCCAAAAATCTTGTTTACTGCCCTCAGCTCTTGTTTACCACCTTCGGTCTTTCTTTACTACTCGTAGGTCTAGTTTACCACCCTCCGTTCCTGTTCATCACCCGCAGTTCTTATTTACCACTTCCAGCTCTTGTTCACCACCCTCACATCTTGTTTACCACCCCCAATACTTGTTTACCCCTGACGATTCTTGTGTACCACCGACAATTCTTGTTAACCGCCCTAAAGTCTTTTTTACCACCCTCAGCTTTTGCTCCAGCTTTCTTAAACTAATAGGGAATGTCGGGAATTCGCGTTTTTAGGAATCCGATTCTAAAAATCCTCAAAGGGTGGGATCTCCCACACACTATATAAAAAATCCTTAAATCCGCTGGAAAATGTCAAGAAAAAACGCTTCCGGGCCTCAAAAAAAAAAATGCAGAGCCACGCGAGGTTTGTAGGTGACATAAATATCGAGACTAAATTTCATAGAAGTGATTCAAAAAAGTGGTGGCCAAATTGACATAACACCAGTTGACTATAAATAGCCATCCAATGGGACAGCGATTATCAATTATAAGTAGGTGTTATTTTCGTACATTTTCTTGAAAGGAATTGCAAATAAGCATTTCTAATGAACATAAAAAAACATTATAATGCATGTAACGATATAGCCTTAACAGCTAATAATGTCAGTCTTCAGAGAAATTAAAGTTTTAAAAACGGGTGGCAAAAAAAATGAGGGTGGCGAATAATTGTTTGCCACCCAGGTGGCGAATATCCTCGGCCTTTGACGAAATTCGGTGTTGAATCCTTTATATGCACGAATAAAGGTTACACCCCTGTATATTGAGGTATTATTTTTCCCTCGTCAAACTTCGAGAGTTTTACCTTAAATTCGCCTTCTGAACTGCTGCTATTGACACTGTCACTCTCGGTATCATCAGTGTCATCATTCATGTTGAGAAATTAGGCCACTGGTTAAATCCTATGGTTAGAAAACTTATTTTTTAAAATTATTTTCCAGATTTCTCAAATATAAACAAATAGGCGTGCCTACATTATCTCCCTTTAAAATTTCACAAATCGCTTACATCAATAATACCAAAAAGGGTATTTTAAAGACAGAAAAAAAATATAATATGGATTTATCCACCAACCTTGACATTTGAGCTCATAACTGTGGCTCATGATCTACTTCATACCTTGGTTCCGCTTCACAAGAAAATCAAAATATTTTCTGTTTTTATTGTTTCTTTTTTTATTATGATGGAGGCGATTTGGCAAGGTACACTCTCTGAATACTTGTTCATTCTGTCTGTATTAAAATGTGATATAAATTGGAATATTTTATTCTGATTTGACCAAAATAAACTTTTCAGAAGGCTAGAAAATTATATACAAAGTGCCAATCTCGAATAAAATGTTTTTTTCTTATCATGCCAGAGAAAATAAATACTCTGAGAAGGAGATAAACACAAACGAACATTGCCCAAATTTTCATGTGTCCATGATAGCATTTATCATCCAGACCCACATTTCTGCAATCGGCAGAATATAGAAAAAGTCTTGGTGTTAGAGACTAGTGTCCAAAATGATGTTTACACTTTATATTTTGTGGACTGCTCCAATCATTTTCCTTTTTCTGTACATTTTCTTCAATTATTATGTTAAAGGCGAGAAGAGTGTGTGTATTGTAGTTCTAGGGGACATAGGTAGAAGTCCACGGATGCAGTACCATGCTGTCTCTTTTGCAGAAGAAGATTTTAATGTTGATTTGGTTGGCTTTGGAGGTTCTACTTTCACTTTATATTTTTCATTAAAATAAAATTATCATTTTTATCTATGGAACATAATTATATTGGATACAGTTTATCCTTTCAATGTTTTACAAATATTTAACATTTAAGCTTATAATTCAGAGTCACTGTTGTATACTGACATGCAGATGTAGTCTTATTATTTTTAATAGATTGTCCAGGAAATAATTATGACAAAGTCAATCTAGATCAACAAGGAATGTTTATAAAATAAATGTGATGAGACACAAGTATTGTAGAGTTTTATTACAGCAGAACAATTCTATTACTCTTTCAGGTTCAAAGACAATTCAACAGATCAGAGAAAATGATCAGATAAATTTACACTATTTGTGTGAACCACCTGGTTTTATCAAACGTAAGCAAATGCCTATTGATTGACTGGTTTTCTGTCCGTTTAAAGTGCTAGTACATTTATTTCTGAACGTGCATCATAGTATCAGGAAAAAGTGTAAGGTAGCAGACATCTAACATAGTACCAGGATAACTGGTAACAAAGTAGGAGGTATTCGTGTCAGTATAACTTTTAATAAACTATGTTAAATTTCAGGCCTTCCCAGATTACTAGGTTATGTTGCTAAAGTTATCTACCAATCTATTAACCTAGCTTGGAAATTGTTACTTTTACCAAAGGCTGGTTTTATCTTTCTTCAGGTAGGAAATTAAGTATGTTTATTGCTTGTGGGTCAAATATCTAGAAATATGTATAGTGTGTATAAATATTTGATTATGTAACAATCCTTGAGAATTCTGAAGCATTTGCTATATATAAGATAAAGTAGTACTCGGTTAAACTATATCATTTGATATTATTTTATTGATGTCGTTATTGTTTTGGCAATATTTTGAATTACATTGTTCACATTTTTCAGAGTTTTTACCAATGTTTGATGTTTCCTGAGGAGGGATCAATCTGAAATTTTCAGTATTAAATTTCCACCTGTTTCATTTTAGAATCCTCCTTCTATACCTACTCTAGCTGTTTGTTGGATTGTTTGTTTAATTAGATGTAGTAAATTGATGGTAGATTGGCATAATTATGGTTGGACAATACTTGGTCTTAATTTAGGAAATGGACATTTACTAGTTCGATTCTCAAAATGGTGAGTACCGGTACTTGCTTTTATGACACAAAGTAATTTCTCCACAATTTTCAAGTGAAAATTAGTATATTAGTTTCAATTCTAGTGAGTGGAGCCATGTTTATATATTAATCACTTTTTTTAACTTGTAGGTTTGAAAAGTTTTTTGGAAAGTTTGCCAAGATAAATTTCTGCGTAACAAAGGCAATGAAAGAAGATTTGAAAACAAACTGGAATATAAAGTAAGAAAGCTACCTTATCCTTTGGATCCTGATTTTGTGATATATCCATTTATATTTGTTTTGATGAAGACTAGAAATAACAACTGACCTATTTCAGTTTGTGAATGTCTAAGTAGAATTTGTTCTCGTGTCTACACTTGAAGCACATTACAAAGTATGTTTTGAGGTAATAAGTTTCTATTTTCAGTGCTGAAACTCTCTATGACAGACCACCACCAAGATTCCAGAAAGCCTCTCTATCAGCTAGACATGATTTATTTCTAAAGTTATCTAATGAATATTCGCAGTTTAAACCCAGGTACGTTGGACTAGCTTACTCCTTCAAAAACATCAGGCCCCAGCAACCACAAAAATGGTCCTAAATGGCTATAAATGAGATTTTCAATTGTAACCAACTGTTATTGTAAAAATTGCTCAATGATCAAGTTTAGTGCTTGGTGTCAAAAAACATTGAGAATATGTTCAGGCAGAATCAATAGTAATGTCATGTTCCTTAGCATATATTGTTTATATTCTACTGTTGTTCTCACAATCCCATATTCACGTCATTAGAGACTAATAACCCCTTGGCAAACCATAAATTACTATTTAATTTATCCAGTCAGGAATCTCGTAACATTTGGTGTAAAAGGATGTTGATTGCAAATGGCGGCCTCCATTGTATTATTCGGAAATGTTGCCCTGAAGACAGCAACCATGAAAGGAATGCTGAGTTAACCAACACAGTTGCAGAGTGACAGTGAGCTCTGCTGCAGTACTCATTAACGATAATTTATATTGCAGAGAGAGATTGGTATCTAAAGATGAACAGACTATATTTACTATAAAACTATCAACTGGAATATTAAGTTATCAAGATAATCGTCCTGCTTTAGTTATTAGTAGTACTAGCTGGACAGGTAGGTGTTGTCAATGTTATGATTGTATAACATCGTATATATAACATCACCATATCATATATAATTGAATATGCCTGGTTCACTCAGCTAGTTTAACTTCCTGTTCTGTTAAGGAAGATTGTGGATTGTGGATTGTAAATGATGTAAATGTGTATTTATTACATGATAAACTGACCAGTGCAACAAGTTAATATCAGAAAGAAAGATGAGTTTCCACTAGCCTGTGTTTTGTATAGATTTTTTTTACATCAATTGAATAGCTGCATGGAATGAATACACAAATTTGATAAAGACAAAAATCCATTTGATTTAATTAATTATGTTAATCAATAAATATATTTTTGAATTATGTTTACAGAAGATGAAGATTTCGGTATTTTATTAACAGCTCTACAAGGTAGTGTATATTATCTTTTATTAGATACATATTCTCAATATTTTTTAAGCATCTTACTCAACTTCTTTGAAATTCTTGCATGTAGTCAAAATGTATTTTTAAATGGATATTCAGTTTCTTTATTAAATGTACTTTTCAATCTTTTCTTATAGATTATGAGAAATATTTTGAAGCTAAAGATTGTACTTTACCAAATGTTCTCTGTGTTATAACTGGTAAGATGATTTCTTTATATTAGCAAAAATACAATGAAGTGTAAAACCATTATTCTGCTTGAAAATTTTGTTGAATATTTATACCAATATTCATGACACTGATAATGAAATTATAATTTATGATAAACTCCCATGTAGAAAATGACATTTAAAACATTATATATCCAATTAAACATGATTGATAAATGTAACCAAATTAGCGACCCAGTCATTGACAAGCTCATCTCATGCTGCTGAAGCTAAATCTTCTCAGTACATTGGGAATCAGTATAGGGATTTAACTTTTCAGTGTTTTGCCTTAAGTCAAACTATCTGAACAGAACATGAAATGAGAAGAGGAAATGTGGATAATATTTTCTGATCTTTCCTTTTATAGGTAAAGGTCCATTTAAAGAGTTTTATAAAGAAAAAATTGAAGCTATAGAATGGAACCATGTGAGTTTCTGTTTACCCTGGTTAGAACCTGAAGATTATCCTTTATTATTAGGTTGGTTGTCTATTCTTTTATTTTGGATTTAATTTATATTTTCTTTACATGGTTGGTATAATATTATGATTTATGAGATGAAAATCTTGCAAGAATTTATGCGGTTAGCTTGGATTGGGGAACCTTTTCTAATTTTGCTGGTTTTGAATACGTTTTGCCTACTTAGGTTCTTCGTTTGTTGAAAAGAATTTTAATATGCATTTCATTTGAGGTTGAGGAAGATAATTCTAATGGTATTACTAAAACCATACCGCAGATTGTAGGTAAAATGTACAATTATGGTGACTTTCTTACTTTCTCAACTTCTTCAGGTTCAGCTGATCTTGGTGTTTGTTTACATAAATCATCCAGTGGTTTAGATTTACCAATGAAAGTTGTAGATATGTTTGGTTGTGGTTTACCAGTTTGTGCTGTAGATTTTCAATGGTAAGAATTGATAAAGTTATTGATTAATATGTAGAAGTATACCTTCAATAAATACTTCTTGCTAACTGTAAATGTTATTTGACAGTTGTTCAAACAGTGAAAATATTTGTTATTCAATGTATAGTTTATATATTTATTCTGAAATTATCTTCATTGTGTGACAAATGTGTTTGCTTTAAATATTGTTAATTAAACCTTCTGATTTTTCTTTTAGTTTTTTGTTATATTCTTGACAGAGATTTTTTCAGGAACAAATCAACGTCATATTGTCATGAAATTCTGTCATGGATAGAAATATGCCAGATGCAATCATATATACTCAATGTTATAATTAATCTTTGTAGTTTATCAGAACTGGTTCAGCATAATAAAAATGGATTAATATTTAAAGATAGTCAGAATCTCAGTAGTCAATTAAAGGTGAGGGAACTAGACTTGAAATATTCGTATTTCATTGTTGCATTGATAAATGTTCTTAAAGGAAATTTTCTGAATATCGGGGACACTCATAGCATCAATATACACCATTCCCATTTTCAGTCTGATGTCTCCTCTTGTGCAATATAATATTGAAAAGCATGGAAGACCTACAGCTTTGATAACATGATTTTTCATACTGCTAACACCTGTTTTTGATAAACAATCTTCATCAGAACAATTTTACTGGCAATAATTGAAGTTGACTTTAAACATATATCTCTTTCAGGAATTATTGAATGGATTTCCAGCCGACCAATCAAAACTTACAGCAATGCGTAGGAATATTAAAGCATTTCAAAGTGTGAGGTGGAATGATCAATGGAAAAAAATAGTTCTTCCTTTGATGATTAAAGACAATACAAAACCTAAAACTGACTGAATGTGTGGTGTGAACTATGAGTTTCTTGTTTGTTGTTTACTGGTGCCTTTACCTGTCATTCTCAATCTTTCTTCATTCCATGTTGTTGTGCCTTTTATCTTGTTAGTATCTTTATTGATGTGACAGTTGTAGAAGCTTATAGATTAATTTAGGAAATGTATTTTTTAGGAATTTCATAGTTAATGTGAGGTGAGCAATTCAAATTAATGGGACCTTATTCTTGAATTCCTGTAATTTGATTATAATATAACAAAACTAAAACCAATTGGAAGTTTGAAACAACAGTGTCACTGACAATCTAAGAATGGCAATGAAAACATTTAAAAATCAAAAGAGATCAATTAAATCATAGTTAGTTGGTTATTAGGACCTGAGTACCACAAAATTACTTATGCTGTTGATAACACTATTGGGTCACTTTAATTGATGGTGTGTTTTGAAAGTTATAGCTAACCTGTTTAAAAAGTTCTCTGTACATTCCTGTAGCACAGAAATATTATTCAAATATTGAATACCCTTAATGAATCGTTATTTTTCTATGCAAGACCATTGACTTTAGTTTTAATCTTACATACTTTCATATAGTTATTATTCACATGTTATATCATATTTAACATATTTGTTAATCTGTCAATATAAATATTATGTATTGTTAAGGTACAGTTTGTTATGCACAAAATTGACAGTATTCTATATTTTAGTCATTTCTGTTGCAATTTATATGTTTAATTTTATTAACTTTAAGATTTAAAGCATTATTTGTTTAATAAATAAATTTAAGTTAATTGATTTGTTTGTTAATGGGAAGGTGTTGTGTTGTGTATGTTTATTTTGTAAATAACTCATTTTTCATTATCTGAATTTTGTATTGAAAAACTTTGCTTGAATTGCAAATGTCCAATACTTTGTTTCTTGGTTTGTAATATAATTTGAAAGGTAAGGTATTCCAATAAATCTAATAATAAATTGAAAAAGAAGTGAAATTATTTGCATTTAAGATATGTAACTGTCACTTTAATTATGAGGAGCTGATATCAGATGGAATAAAATATGAACTGGCTAATGTGTAATGTGTTGTGCTATATGAGAGATCAGATCAACCTTAAATCTGTATACTGGTCAAGTTCTAGTATAGTATAGAGTTCTTGCACAACCAGTAATTAAGACCTCAAAAAATAAAACCCTGATAGACATTTTTATATAAAGTTTAATTCGGTGAATTTTGGTATAAAAATAATGAGATTAATCAGAATATATGATATATAATTGCACATATTAAAACAGTTAAATATATCTTTATCAACATAACACTAATATATCTTTACTATATCCTTAATAACTTTAAACTTTCTGAAATAACCTAAAAAACTGTTTAATATTACATACACCTTCTAGCTTGATAACATTTAAATTTCAGAGATGATCAACAACTGGGCTGGCTTCCGTCCATTGAAATAATGTAATTGAGTGAAAATTTAGAATCAATTCTGTGCTGCCAGCATGGAACATTTTGCCTAGAAGATAGTTATGAGATAAGGCTGACATTTACTTGGAAGTTTTATAATATGAATTGAGAGTAAAAAGTTATTAAAAATGTGATAAAGAAGTTATATCCATATTTATAAATATTAACATAATAAACTTAAATAAACTTTAATATTAAATTAAATATTGGAATTCCACATACAGTTTAAATCAAACCAAACTTTATTACAGCTAAGTTATTTTCAAATCTTGGAATGTTACAGAATAAACTAAACAAAAATAAAAATATAAGAAATATGGAATGTATGTAAGTTGAAATGGACCAAAAAACAATATCAAAATATCTATTTCAAATGATATGTTACTTGATAGGACATATAGCATTGCAAGCCACACTTTAGAATTTGACCTGACCTTTTCAAGTTCACTTTAAGATATTCCTATTTCTAACTGAACACTATTGTTACCTTAGAGAGAACACGCTATAACATTTCTGATTAATACTTGAATTATACTGATTATAACTTATAGTATTATGCATTATTTCAATATTGAGCAGGAATTAGTTCATCCTGTGATACCCAATAACATCTGATACTAATTCTTAGTTCATTAGAAATGTTACATTGGATGTCACCTGGGTAAGACCGGATGTGTAAACTTATACTGAATAAAATACTGAATACAATTCTTTATTTCCATACATCAAAATGTCTTCTTGTCTTATAATACAGAAAGCCTGACAGCAATAACATTTTTTGATATATTTCATAATAAATAATTTCAAACTTAAACTTCAGATAGAGAATTCTAATCAGATGTGATACTCACTAACACTGATTGTAGATTCTAACACCTGAACAGAAATGTTTCGATTTTGTGATTGAATCATTAGTAATAAAAAAGTAAGTAGTAAGTATAAATAAAGCACTAGTATAAATATTGCTAATAAGGAATGTATTTATAAGATATGTTATAACTATATATTATATCAACAATGTTAGTCAAGGTGGTTTTCATCGAGGGCAAGTTTTGTAGAGTTGTGTAGCCTGTTTTTGGTTCCATTTGTTGCACTTCTGCATTTGTCAAAAATCTTACAATAAAAAATTAAATCATAAGACATTTATGAAAAATGGTGGCTAGATCATTAAGAGATTAAGAGACAAATGATTAATGTTTTCAAAGTTAAACACATAGATACAATGAAAACCATCCTGAAAAAATGCATAGTATTAAATATAAAGAAAGTATAAATTTATATCAATAACAGCATTATTTATATTTATAATATTTATATTATCAATATTTTATATACAAATGATTTATTCTAATTAGGTAAGTCTGTTATTTATTCATAAGCACTTTTGATTTTTGTTTTCTTTTCTATAAGTTATCAAATTGATGCTGGAATTGCACAATTAATGCCTCATCATTTAGAAATATTTCAGCAGAAATTTACATTCAAATAATGTTACATAAATTTTTTAACATTGCAGCAATAAAGTTTTTGGGATATTAAAGAATATTAAGTTTGTTACCTACTGATAAATTACAATGAAATTCATCATTACATATATTCAGGAATAAAAGTGATCAAGCATGTATTCAGCAGTAAGTTATTTGTAACAAAAAAATGAAAACATTTAATAGATAACATAGGATACATCTGTAATAATTTAGAAACTTTCTACTTGTTATTCAGTATTTATTAACATGTATACTGAACAACAAGGTAAAAGTATCTATGATTGGAAGCTAGGGGTATATTTGGTTTAGTTTACAAGGAAAGGAAATCTCAAGCAACAGAACATCATTTTTATATCTGTTGAATTACATAATGTACTAGGGCACTATGAGTTAATTAAAGAATTCTATCACATGAAGTTAGTATTTTTCCTCTTAGCTTACTCCTCGTCGGTAGATCTAAATTATTTTTAGATTGAATTACACCATTGTTAAATATTATTTTCAACTGAACATTAGTCCATTTTGATTTAAAGGTTAACATTAGATGATATTAAATGTACATATTTATAAATTATTTACAATTTGAAAGATTCGGAGTGAGCGTGGTGTCTGATAGAAATGATAAAATATTTCGGTTGGATTATAAGGCAGATGGACTGGGTCTATCAGGACGCTTTCTATGTCTATTTATAACCTGTAGATATTGACCAATCAAATTGGAGATATCAGGACCCTGAAAATAAACAAAATAATAAGTTTTGGAACATGTAGGTAATATATCATCCGTTCTTTAAAAGGGAGAGTCTTGAAAAAAAGTGAGGCGTCAATGTAACTTACGAACAAGAAGAAGGTTCAAATTTTGATGGTAAGCTGTGAATACTAATACTGATAAGCTTAGCTAAACAATTCATGTTTTTAAGACCAAGGTATAATTGACCCCAGAAACCAGGGCTTAATCATCTACACTTGACAGAGGACTCTGAATGAGACCAAACATATAGATACTAATAACAAAACAGTAGAATATCCTTTTATTTCCAGGGAAAACAGTTGAATAACTTCTAAAGAGAAATATAGATTTCTTACCTGATCTGTTTCTACCCTCATTATCTTCTGTACCATTAAATTACCTAATTTCATATCTAAATAATTCACTCCATTATCACTTCGATAGCTTCGTGTCGACAATGTTTCTTCAAATGGATGATACACTATCACTTCCTACAATGACAAATCAGAATTGAGTTTTATAAAAATCGTACTAAATAGCAAAAATATTGTGTGATGCAATTCTCAACTCAAAATTACAGGTCTCAAAGGAGAGTTTTTAACCCTTAAATAAACAAAATGACATATACCCTGAACTCCAAGTAATATATAAACCAATGGCTTACAACATAAACACTTTGTGACTTGGAGCAGTTAGTGTTGAACGAGTTAATATGATCAATTAAGCTTCATAGTTCTCCTGCAGAAAAATCAACAAATGTGATACTTTGAAATCTATTTTCATAAAATAAAAACAATATCTTACCCTAGTTTCATGTTTTAAGAAACAAACACCATTTCTATTGACAGCTAGTATACATTCTCCAGCAGTGTTTGGAATACTCTGAAAGTAGATATATATATATATAGAGACCTGTGAAGCCAACATTCATATATAATATTTTTGTCAACTGACTAGTCAATATGATATAATATCAATGTGATAATTGTGCAATTGAAATAAGTATCAAATATTTACCTTAATATGGAAGAATACTGATCCAAACAGATTCCATTTAGATAGTAATTCTGAAAATAAAAATTTGTATTTATAATAGAAAACAGAGAAATTAACAGTAATGTCACAAATATTGTTCTTATTGTGATGTGAATGTCAGAAGGCAATGTCTTCTGTCTTAAATATCTGTGATGTGTCCCTCATCTCCTGGGACTATTTGATGAATACAGCCATGACCTGGTGGTGATGCATTATGTGATTTACATTTTGTTTAGCAAAATTTTAAGATCATTATTAATTAAGATGAAAATGTTGTATTATTTATCATATTTGATTGATATTTCCAAAACAGAATATTCACATAACTGATGAAATAAAAAATATTTACCAATAAACTGAGCTCTATAGGCTATTGGAGGTCGAGATGGTATTTCTTTAATTCGTGAATGAATCATGTTCAACCAATTCTGTGGTTTAACATCAGGCATATTTAATACAGTGTTTGGTAGCAGAATCTCTAAATCTCGTCTGAAATACATGAAGACATTCATTATTTCTGTAAAATGTGTAAATTTAAGTATAAACAGTAGAAAAAAAAGATTTGGTTCACATGGGGAAGCATTAGATTCACCAGAAGGCAGAGATTATGTAGAAAGGAACTTGGTTCATATTGGGTCAAATTCTGAATAAAAAGAGCTTGGGTTCTTGGGTTAATGAAGAGTTTGGTTCATCAAGATCATATATAAAATGAAAATGAAATGAGAGATAATATTGTTGAAAAGCTCAGTTTAACATGGGCTATTGATTATGACAAGCTATGGTTCTCCAAGAGAAAGGATCATGTAGGTATTTGGGTTCAATGTAGATCATGTAGTTGAGACTACAGGAGCTTGAAAGAAACATAGGGCAAGAATTATGGATTTGTCAACTTACCGGCTTGGTACTGAACTGTGATCTTTACTCTTATATAACAGTGCTCCCATAGTTACCAGATCTTCCTGTAAAAACAGTTAGAAAAATACAGTTAATTTGGGTATAATATTGAAGTACAAAATCGATCTCTTTGAAAAAGGACATGGAATTTTAGATTATTTTGACAATCATTGATGTAACTTCACAAGAATTATAATGCAGTAATGTAAGTTTGGATATAACATATGTATACTTACAAATGTCTCTCTGGCCAGTATACCTTTTGGCATTTCAACTAATAACCCATCCAAATAGTCTAATATACACTGAAATGAAAATAATTACACATAATTCAGTCCAAAATAGTAACCACTTATTTCATAAATCATGGGGCAAAATGCACATAACATTCACATAATCTGATTTTTTAATAATTTTGTTTTACACTAGATTTTATTACTAGTTTTAAATAAATTGGCCTAAAATTTTGCATGATTTTTGTTGCTGATGCTTCAAATTCGTAAAATATTAAGATTCCCCCATTTATGCTTAATAAGGATGTATATGTACTGTGAAGAATATAAACATTAAAAGCTTTAAGTTATGATATTTCAAACACTATAACAGATTGGTTTAAGTATCAATTCAATATACTCACCTGTTGAAATATCATATCAATATAGACCTCATTATCTGAATGGTGTATAGGGAAATACCAGACTGTTCTTTGGAAGATTAAATCATACATGATCTGATTTCTAACACATTCTGCTGTAATATCTAATACATACTCATCTCGACGTAACTTCTTAAAACCACCATCTCCTGGAAAAACACAGAGAATGAAGAGTTAAGACTGGTTAATTTAGTTAATGAGTCCAAGACTTAGTTTCAGTCAATTACCTAGTACAGTGAATATATTTTTGCACATCTGGCTCCAAATCAAAATATAAACATGAACAGTCTACATAATTTTGGGGAAGAATAAATAGAAATTACAAAACAAGTTAGACACTTGTTGGTATATATTTTGTTATGTTTCATTCTCTTGTCATTACATCTGATGATGACATGTGTATTTTAAAACATATATTTCTGTTAAATATAAATTGTGTCTAAAAGTTTTTCAACAACAAAAGCATGCAAGTTTAAGTTTCTATGACGACTATATCAGCAGAAATGTAAATCTCTGAGACAAATAAGAAGCCTTTCTAAATACTTCAAAACAATGTGAATTACAATAACTTACTTGATCGTAAAAATAATGTGTACTCTTCAAATTCTACAGGATCAGAAATATTCAAATTTCTACAAATATCTTCAATAGCATCTTGTACTACCTGAAATTTTAATCAATTCATTCATAACAGATTAATAACTACTTTTTATTATTTAGGTATCTATCAACTTTTTTAATCAGTAAGGAATGCAAACCTTTTGTAACAAAAGGTGACTGCAGAAAATAGAGGTCTGCTGCTGCTCAAATAAATAAACAGTCCATTCAAATATACCACCTCAATTCGAAAAGAAATTCTACGTACTAAAAATATGTCATAGATTTACCACATAAAACACATCAGCTAGTGGACTATCTAGATGATCATAGAATTCAGTTGATAAAATAAGTAATAGTGCTTACTGTACAAGATTTAACCTGTATCATACCACCAGATTGACTGGATCCACTATATACAAACGGGAAACGTTTACAATTTCTACCATCCTACAATATATATATAATACAACAGTCATTTTACCATAACACTATATCTAAAATCAAATTTTCAATGATTAAAATGATTCAATCAGTGCTTAAATCATGATGTTGTTTTACTCTATCATTTCTGATGTCCAAATAACATTGGTGCAATTATCAAAGCCAGACTGCAATCCTCTGTACATGTTGTTGCATTGCAATGATCCCAACCAGGTTCTTTATATGGTAGTTTACAATAGCCTTACCCCTAAAGCTTGAACTTCTTCTCGTAATGGAACATTCTTCCTTCCACCGTGACGGAATGTTTTTCTTAGATTCTGTAGACAAAGTGTAGCAGCAACTACAATATAAAATACAAAACATACTGAAAATGATGATCAATAAAAAGTTTATAGGATGTAAAAGGTTTGATGGACCAAATTGACTAAAGATATTTTGGTCATTTAATTGTGGGTCATTTAATTGTGGGTCATTTGATTGCAGACGATTTCCCATGAAAAACAAGTAGTATTACTTCAGTAATTCTCTACAGTATATGTAGAAATTAAGATCTTAATATTTAACTAGCAACATACCACAATAAGGTCTGGAGATATCGGAGGAGTTTGTCTCTAAATATTTAAATAAGTAAGGTCGAAGGTTATCTGAACAATCGTAGAAGGCACAAATTATAGCCAGTAATCTCCATCCACGTATAGCACTTTTCCTGAAAAAATATAATATATCATTATATCGGACATCTAATTTCAATTCTGTCGTATGTTGTTTTTTAAGATTAATCTAGGTTCAATAGGTATTAACTTCATCATTTCTTATACTTTCATAAGTTAATATGTACCTCTAAAAATATGATCAATGGTTCATTATTAAAACAATCACAATACAGTGAGGCCCTGTTTTTCTGTTCCTGATAAAATCTAAATTTGAATATACTTACTGTTTCATACTTCTATTATTGGTTGTTTGTTTACATAGTTGACAGAATATTTCATCTCGTAACTCTGGGTATTTATGACAACTCTGAAATACAGTGATAATGGCATGAAAAATCAGCATAGCACAGCATAGATCAAATTATTTTCTTAGCATTGCAGTATTTAAGAGATGACATGAGTTTGTTTCTAAAGATTTTTAATGAATATCACAAGAATTATAAATGGTTATAAAGTGTTGAATATTGATGCAAAAGTACAAAAGAAATGACAGAGAAAATTGACTTATATTTGAATATCATAAACTGAGAACTTACCTTCAATATTTTAATAACACAATCATAGTCAGTCATATTGCCCATCGGATAGTCTCCCATAAACCTCATTATACCTGAAATATAGCCAATGTCATCAAGCATCAAGCATCTCAAGAATGCTAAGCAAAACAGTCGTAGGATTTTGAGTTACCTAAAGCTATATTTCATATTGAAGACATAAGGACATCAGAATGTATGAACTAAAAGTCTAATGAGGTACTGTTTTTCTCTCAGACAAATTAAACATTGACAATAAAATATCAAAATATACTTACAAATAAAACATTCTAGAGATATTTTATTTAACTCTGCTGAAGGTAGTTTTAATAATGATGCTTGTATAGGAGACTGAAAAAGAAAATCGATTAACTTTCAAAACTGGGAAATTTTCAAGTTTTACAGACCAAATATTTCCAAGTGACAAAGCTAAAAATGACGATGGCAAGCTATATTATTCATAGATACATCAAATATTAGACCATAATGTTCACAATAGGAAATTTTCAGTTTCAAACACAAATACAATACCATTGTAAAATTTTACAGGATAACAAAATCTAAAATATATTTTTCAGAGGCCTTATTCACAAAATCTTAACTTCAGTGTTCCAGTCAATCGATGATTAGTTAATCAATATTTGTTAAAAATCTGGATTTTATCTTATCTTATACAAGGATAAGGCCTCTGAGCAATATTTTTCAAATTCTATTATATCTTTATAACTTACTCGTGTCCATTTGATAAGTTCAGCTTGTTCTCTCCAACTCCAGTCACTTCCTATAGTTTAAAATATAAATTTTAAATAAATAATGCTATCATTACATCAATATACAACAGAGCAATAAGGAGTATTTCAATAATTCAACCTACTCAAGCTTTCTCAATCTGTGCAAATTCTGTCATTTGATAGCAAACTACAATTTTAAATAAACCCCTGTTAAAGGAGAGACTGCAGCTTAAGTTCAAGAGCAAATGAAAATTGATTTGCTTATCCAACACTGTCAATGTTCAAATATTAAGAGCACAAAGAATGATGTATGAAAATACTATAAGCATTATAAAGCAAGTTGAGTGCAAAATTAACAGTTAATGTGCATTTTATGGTTTTAAGAAATAAGCATTGCAAATTCAACTTCTAAACCCAAGAAGATAAATACCCCCCTTTAATTCAATATTTCAAACTAAAAAAAAAACATTTTAAATAAAATTCTGACTTAAGGAAATACATCAATTTACATCAATTTCAGTGACTAGCAAATGTAAGTGTTCACAACCTTTTTCTGAACAAGTTACTCCTTTATGAACACCACTGTACAATATGAAAACATAAATTCATCAACTCATGACTCTATTCTATTCAAGAGCTGTATGAGTATTGTGTTCTTATTACAAAAAAAAAGCCAACAAACAAACAAAAATATGAGTCATAAATTATATGAAAAACCATATAATAATAAAAATAAAAAAAAATAAAAATATCTGAACCTATCTTCTGATCAGATAACAGAACAAGTAATATAAACAGAGTGAAAGCAGACCATCACCTTTATTATTACTCTTGTGATGATGTCGACGTGATAAATGTTGTAAATTACGAAGTTTCAGACTCTCTATTAGTTTAATAGTACCCCTGATAGATCCATCATTGGAACGTAACATCTCATACCTAGATATAATATAGTATAAGCTTTGTGATTGGTTAAATTAAATTAGCAGGTTATTTCAAATTGGCATGATATCAGATTATTCACATTCAAATGGAAAGATATTTAACATTCAGAAACAAGAACTGTCTTGGGTATCAATGCATGTATAGCTAACTGACCAAGTTGTCCTATTTTCATCTAAATCTCGACTTAGAGATGTTATTTTAAAATGTAGAATTTTGGAAAGTTATCTAATGCTTATTTTCTTAGTAAATTTGTGATTATTTACCACAATTGACCTAATTTTACCAGTATATTAATTTTAGCAAACCAAAGAAATATAACAATTTTTTTCTTTACCAAGATTGAATGTTGGAATAAACTGATGTTGGCCATTTATTTGTGTGCATTATGATTAAATACATTGATTAGGTGAGCTGTGCAGTCATTGGCTGAAATAAAGGTAAATTTAGTGAGAGCATTAGGTTAATCATGTGACATCACTTCTGCAATTTCATTGGTTAATATCTTTACCTTGATTAGGTCTGCCGCCATGTCTACTGCTCAAAAGAATAGAATATATAAAATAAACCATTGAATGAAAAATAAAATATGTGTCCATTATGGTCAAATTCATTTGCCATTAATATCTCAAAAGGACTGAATTATAGCCTTTACACTTTGCCTAGAAATGACTGAATTACTAGCCTTTACTCTTCGCCTAGAATTGACTGAATTACTAGCCTTTACTCTTCGCCTAGAAATGACCGAATTACTAGCCTTTACTCTTCGCCTAAAAATGACCGAATTACTAGCCTTTACTCTTCGCCTAGAATTGACTGAATTACTAGCCTTTACTCTTCGCCTAGAATTGACTGAATTACTAGCCTTGACTCTTGACCTAGAATTGACTGAGCTACCAGTCTAATTGACTCTTGACCTCTCTGATATATTTTTGATTTGAAATCATGAAGAGGGCTACAACTGATCAATTGTTATATTCATTTGAATACAAGCCATTGCAGTCAGTAAATAAGGTGTTTTTAAAGAAGGACAAAAATTTTACTCAAATATGAAAAGACTTTAAATTTCACCGATCTTACTTGTCTATAGTTTCCCTGAAATTAACCATTGCATATTCCATCATAGAATATTTTCCATCATGGATGACAGTACCAACACTGGATTCACTTCCATCATCACCAGTTTCCTACAAACAAATTGACATCAAGTTCATAATCTACCTCAGACAATTGAAAGTATAAAAGTTTATATTAACTTATATTATTCAGTTTATATTAGATTAATGTACTCAGTGTCAATCCTCTTAGTCCCTTTTGCATGACCTAGCCATTAGATTTTAAATCCCAAAAAGAGATCGGGATAGCTGATATGATATAAAAAATAATAAGTATGATATGACATTGTCCATTTAGAATCAAATCAAATAAGTATTTATTCTTGAACATTATGTCACATTACAAGATGAAATTGATTTTAAAGTTTGCTAGTTATGAAGTATAGTAATAGTTTGATAGTAATGAAGAATGTGCCGTGACTAAAAACAGTGAGAACAAAAGTGATGAAAAAAGTTTTACTTCTGCAAAATCCATTGGAGTTAGCATAAATGTGATATCCTATATGAGCATTAATGGTTGGTAGTTCTTTTCTCATGAGACAAAATGAATAATCTTTATATGTTAATCTAATTTTTATTCTCAATTCACCTATCCTGATAATGAGAAACTGTATATTGTAAGTAGAGAGAGCTCAAGTAAAGAAAGATAAGATGAAACAAAGCATATATAAATTATAAAGGCCTATTCTACATTACTATATATATATTGAAGACAAAATAAACAAAATCCAGCTTAACTCACTCTGCTAATTTGTCTCTGTACTAACACAGCCTGTAAAGCAAAAGCAGCAATAAGCAGCTGGTTAAACTAAACATGGATTAACTAAAATTCTAGCACTGAACCAAACATATAATCAAATATATAGGTCCTGTTAGTCTCCAGCATATCATCTGTCATTATTTTATAGTACACATTGTTAAAATAGCACTTTTATATATAATTATGGATATACAATTATCATTGATATAGTGATTTAAAAGTTAAATTCAATGAAAAAAACAAGCCAACAGGTTAAAGGACAAAACAGTGGTAAAACTCAACAAAAGCAATTAAACTTAATTGAGGTTAAACAGAAGTGATTGAAAAGGTAATTAACAAACAAATTCTAATTAACATAAAATAAACAAATAAACCATTATTCACCCGTGATGCATGGACTTCTACCTCATGTCTCATCAGATGTTTGACGTTTTCAGCTGGGAATATACCAACTATACCATGTAGTGAACCATATAACCATCCTGAAATACAATACAGAATACTGGTGCACTTCATTTCATTACTGGAGCACCAAGCACCCATCTCTCCTCCGAAATGAGATGTGTCTCAGTCAAACTCTTAGGTTTCAATTAAGCTGGAACAAAGTAACAACATAAATTAATCCTTTATTTAAGCTAGGTTTTTTTCCTGAATTGAACTTACTTCACAGATCTGGAAAAGAGTAATTTCTATTAGGATTTATTGTTTTATTAAGTACTGCCCATTGTTATATCAAAATTAAATCTGTGTTACATTACCTTGATCTAGATTCATTTCGGGATCCATGAGTTTAATGATATCACCTTTACGGAAACTTAATAATGTTGATTCTCGTGTTACGTAGTCACGTAATGCAACTACATATTTATTACCCTGCAATATAGTATATAATACTTAATAACATAATATGTTATGCTGTTGTTTTAAAAACGAATTAATGTAAATTTATCATCAATAGAATCTGAAAAATTATTATACAAATGCAAAAGTTAAGCAAACAAATATGCATGTTATAGTAATTCACTTTTTTTGTATTACATCTGACTGATAATCAGAAAAGTAAGTCTTAAAAAGTCACAGCTAACACTGACCTTCTCACTTTCACTACAGAATTTATCAATCATATTCTTCAGTTGCTTGGCCTGAAAATATAATCAATATGAATAAATTTAATTGTATATTCAATAAAATATCATTATGCCATTAAATTGAAATTTTCAAACTCATTGGACAATACTTTGCAATACAGCCTATGCATTATAAGTAACAACCTAAAATAAACTTCTTTTAATTGACCCTCCTCAGCTGGTTGGGTTGAGGTGTAAGAAAGTAATGAATCAATTTAGAAATAAAATATTTACCCTTGGTGTAAAGAAGAGTACTGATTTGACTTTAAGATTAAGTTGTATTGTCATATCACTAGGCATAACACAATCTACCACATCTTCAAACCTATAATATAAGAAATTTTTAATTCTCTGATCTTTATATGTTTACATCTTCTTATTAATCGATAAAGTTCATGATAATATGTTGATATGTAAGGACAGACCAGTTATATTTTTCAACCTGCTTTCCCCTTGTCATTGATGTAAGTCAGAGGGACTGAAAAGTGTCTATTGTGTGCAACAGACTGGAATAAGGTAGTTACTGCTGCTGTCATGGCAAAATTTCTCCCATTGCACACAGCTTTACCTCATTCAGATATACAGCACCACATGTAAAATTTAGGTTAAAACCTCAAAAAAAGCTTTCAAGATCTAAAGAAATATAAACATACCTGATATCTTCAATAACCATTAAACTATCATCTATTAAACTTCTTTCTCTAGTAACAAATCTAATACCAGTATGACTTACTCCTAGATATTTTATATTAGAATAATGTCCAGTCGACTGAAAATATATTTATAATCTACATAGTGTTGTTATGTTTTGATATTAGAATACTACCTAGTTGCCTAATCTACTAGAGCTTGAATAGACCAAATGAACATATCCCTGTCATAATCTGACCAAAGATCACAACTTCTAGAATTTTCCTTCTAGAATCTCAACATAAAAATCACGCTGTTTATTTATTATTTACTTATTATTAAACAAAAGCGTCTTTTTTGTTGAAACTTTTCTACTTACAGCAACAGGGAAAAGTCGACAGAAATAAGTTGGCCATTCTTTAGCTGTATCAACTATTATCTTTTTGGCCTGTTGACTCACTTCTTTACTTAATACATTATGACTGGAAATACCATACGTTTCTATAACAAAAATAAAACAAAGTTCACATTTCAAATATCATAGATTCAAAATTTCCATTTATAAGTTTAGCTTCTATTTCTGAAGATATTACTGATTTTGAATCCAAATGCAAGATCAACAAAATCAGCAGCTGTAAGTTTATATTGCAATGGATTGCCCAATCCAGTTTCAAGATTTTATTAAAATTTTATTCAATAAAATAATTGCTCTCATATTAAATCATGGAGCAAGATAGTATTAAAGTGTAAGTCAAGTGTATCAATACCTACCCAATGTACTTCTCATTTTAACCTTATCATCTTTAGTTATTCTGATACAAGCATTATTAAACACATCCTGTACCACTTGACAGTAGATTAAATGTAGAGCCAGCTGGTTGTCTAGTTTCTCTTGTGGTAAAAATACCTACAAATTAATATTAATATATCAATCAGTTAATATATCAAGATTCGAACCGAATTCCACTATTACAGGGATTTCTTAATTTAAAACAACTGTTGGGCATAAATACAATTGTTCTCACCAGATCTACTGATCCGTTTTTCAGTTTCCTGTGTGCATATCTGTGATATTTCTACTAAGTCCTATTATGGCTATGTCAAGGCTAACAACAATTAGATCTGAACATTTTTAATTGTTGTCTCTATATAGTAAAATAATGATGAAGGTCTACCTCTTTTCTAACATGAAGTTTCCAAGGAACAGGACTGTAGGTTAAGAAGAAGTTTTTCTGTTGTGTATAAAGTTCTGTTAGAACACGTTCTAGAGCAATATAATCAATCTTGGGTTGTTCTGGTTCTATAACAGGAATATGTGTCTGATATATAGGTTCTGTAGTTGTTATATTCTCTGTTACTCTGTTAATAGTTTCTGTAGTAGTAGTTGTCTCTAAGTTGGAAGGTTTTGGAGGTGGTGGTCTGTCAGGTAATGGTGGTGGAAGAGCTGAAATGATAAATAATAAGTACTGTTTAATTATATCACTTAATCTACCAGGAGTACCCTGAGACTTTTCATGCATAAGTTTGAGGCTTATGCAGAGGGGCAATCTCTAGGGTGCTCAATAAGGGAAATATTGTAACACCAGCATCAACAACAGTGCATAGTCTGTTACATCTGACCTGCCAATGGAAACAAGTCCAAAGTGTATTGAGGATTATGGAAGAATTAATGAAATGATCTTACCAGGTGGAAGAGGAACTGCTGTTATAGCTCTAGCAGTTGATGCTGTTGAAGTTGTCTTCTTAGCTGTTTCTGTAGTTGTCGTCTTTTTGGCAGGTGCTCCTCCTAGTTTTACCTCCAATAATCGAAGAGTTTCCATATGTGTTGTTTCAACCAAAGATTTAGCACGTTTCATTGGTGCTTTCTGAAATCAGAATTTAATTTCTTATATGTATACAAAATATACAGTGTTCTCTGTGAATTCTAATATCTGAGTATTTCGACAATTTGAATGATCCAACATCTTCTAGAATTCTGTTTTATTTCATTTCTTTCCTTAACTATCATAATGCAACATTAAATACTAAATGAACTAAAGTGAACCAGTCATTGCCTTACTACCCTTGTAAACTGATGCATGGTCAGAGATTCTAGGGCATTTGTTGGCAATAAAACTTCTTTTATATAGCAATTGTAGGCTGTATCTTACCTCTTCCTTTTTAAGGATAGATTTTGGTTCTTCAGGTCTTTTCCATTTACCTTTTCCAGACATTTTTTCTAAATCTTTAGCAACCTGTTCATCAATATCCAGTTTTCCAACATTTCGCATTGCATGTTCAATTTGATCAACTGGTGGAGGCCATACTACACGTCCAATACGAATTGTTCTAGCCCGACCATCTGTGTCTTTAAAGGTGAATGTTCCCCTCTCTTTATCAATCATTGGTTCAAAGTTGGATTGCTCTGGTGGAGGAGGGGGAGGTGGAGGTGGGGGTACTGCTGCCTGATTGTGAAGTTTGTGAACCATTTCTGTTGTGGTAACATTGGAAATTGGAACAACAGGGGGTGGTGGGGGAGGATGAGCTACATTATTGGATTGAACACGAGTCCTCTCTTCAGTTCGGACTGTTACTTTAGTAACAGGTTGTTGTTGATGTTGTTCAAAACTACTTGAGCTAGAGGCACCATTGAAGCTTGCAGCAGCAGTTGCCACGGAGTTGTTTGTGGCATTACTAGAAGTTTGTTGTTGTCTGAACTTATAGCTTGGTTGATTCATCAAGCTTTGTGCATTATTGGCAGATTCAAAACTATTTTTGATAAATGAAACTTTCTTAGGAGCAGTTTGTGGACCAACACTTGAAGTTACTGAAGATTGGGAGAACCCTGCTGCTGATCCAGGAAGTTGGTTTGTTTGAACACTCATACCACTATTAAAGCTATTGGAAGGGCTTAGTGTTGTGCTAGCAGGAATATTAGATTGTCCAGTTTGTATTTGTTGAAGTTGTTTCTTTAAAACCTCTTGTTCAATAGATTGCTTCAGAAGCTGATTCTGGAGTTCTTGTTGTTGAAGAGCTGTTCTCAGAGCATGTGTTGTAGTGGTCTGCTGTTGAACATTTACACCACTGGTTTGTTGCTGTTGTTGTAAGGCTGCCTGCATCAAGGCTTGTTGTTCTTGTTGCTGTCTTTGAGCTTGAGCCTAAAAAAAAACAAACTACAGGTTATTTTTGTTTCTGAGATACAATATCACATCCATAACCATTAGTTCCCATCTCTTATATACACACTGTTAGATGTTAAAAATGTCAGCTAAATCTTCTACAATCATGTGTTATATACAACAACCAAATTTCCCATTTTTAAAAAGGTTAAAGGTCAAAGCAAAGTATTAGGATATTACAAGATAATGGGAAAGGATCAACACACAGGTGCAAGGGATAAAATTTCACACAACACAACATCAATGCATCAAATTTTTCAAAAGATGTTTCTATTGTCAAATATGTTGTCTCTAGCTGTGTCCAAGGTGCTCAATAAAATATCTATATGTTAAAATGCTCCTGTTATGAATCTATGATATTCATAAGCCCTGAAATATTCCCAAGGTGAAAAATAAGTCAAAAGTGCTACTGTAAGTCATTCATGAGTAAAAAGTGCTCTCTTAATTCATGCGTTTCTTAACCACAGTGGTTAATTTACTATTCATGTGTCAAATATGTTTATTCGCATATTACAGGTGCTCCTTTGTCAAATGTGTTCCTTCACACATAAATTTGTCAAAAGTGTACTCTAATATATTCATGTGTCAAATATGCTTTTTAGCATATCTATGTGTTAATTATGCTCATTAGCATATCTATGTGTCAAATGTGCTTCTAATCATATTTATCTATGTGTCAAATGTGCTCCCTTATATCTTTATGTGTCAAATATGCTCTCTTATATATGTATGTGTCAATCATGTGTAAAATGTGCCGCCTAAAATACCAATGTGTAAAATGTGTGTTCTGTGATCTAAATTTTCTAAATCTAAAAGCTGGGGTAGTATACCATTTGTACCATATAAGCCTGAACAGCTGCCTGTTGTTGTTGCTGTTGTTGAAGTTGTTGTTGTGCTACTAGTTGTTGTATAGCATCAGTATTTACAGGAAGAGTTGATGGAGGTAAAGAGGTTGGTACAAACGCTCCCAGTGGAAGTGGTATAGTTGTATTCTGTAATATATATCAAGACATGGCACTATTTTAATTTCAAGGAAGAAAGTCTGGGATTCTGCCAAATGTTCCTGCTTAGGGAAATCATTACAGTTTTTGGATGATAAAATAATCATTCCAACTAATCCAATTGACAATACATACATAGCAATCTGCCTCCTTGATTTTGAAGCCACATTTGTGAAAATGTAATTCCACGAGAGTTTGGCCAAAGGGAAACCAAAAAACATTATATTCATTGGTTACCATTAATGATGTCTGAAATATTGCTTCAATAGAAATTGTATAAAATGTCTAAAACACCTACCTGTTGGGTTTGTAATCCAGGTATTCCTTTTCCTCCTCCTTTTATACGATGTTCTAACGACCTGCTGTCAATCACATCATCATGGTCATTGAGGGCATTGTTAAACACATCCTCTACCCAATGAGAAAAGTCAGTATTGTTAGTAACAAATGAAGCCTCTGATGTAGCATCCATATTACCTTTACGAATACCACCACCAAATTTCTTTTTACCTTGAACACCAGATTTCACATAGCGAGCGTTCATCCTATTTCCAGATAAATCTCCATTCATGTGAGGATGTCCCACTTCACCATTGGAGGTAAAATAGCGAACATTTAATTTATGACCTGACAGTTCCTTTTCCTTATCATCCTCCACTATGGTGGAAATGTCACCATTTGTAAATCCTGATGAATGTCCATTAGTCAAACCTTGTGGTTTGCGTTTGGTGTAACGCTGATTTAATTTAGTCTCTGAGAGTTCTTTGCCCATGATTTCAGTAGGACGTTGATTTAATACACTGGTCATAGAGAAAGCCAGGTCATCATCAACTGTCGAAGATTGGGCTGTCTTGTGTTTTACATATCTTTGTTGTTTGATTTCATTAATGCTACCAGAAGCCATCTTGGATGTGTCACGTTTTAGCATTTCAGGTAATCTACCAACTATTATCATTAATCTTTCACGATCTGGATTGTGAGGTCTGAAATAAAATAAAATAAATATCAAAACTGAACGAAAACATCCAGAATCAGAATGGAATGGAGTAAACCTGATGTTTCCTAATTCAATTGAGCTAATGAATTCAATACCAAAAGTCTGCAGAAGATAACACATGCACTCTGATTTAGAGGCTCAATGCTGTACTGTTAAACATCTCTGAACTAAACTTGCCAGTTGTCAGTTTTATCACCATTTCTCTGTGTCACATATAATGTCTGCTCAAGTTTATTGTTAAAGAAGAAAATCAAATATAACTGTCTTGTATGCATCAATCTAAACTAATAAATTCAAATAAACTTACACATCAGAATGGAAATGTCTTCTATGTGAAGGTCTTTCTCTAGCTCTATCAGTAGAAACTAAGAAATATGCTTTACAGGTTGGAAAACCTGGTGCTATCTCCATTTCACTTATTAGATCCAATACATAGTCATATCCCATTAATTCATAGAAATCTACATCTTGTTGTAGTGTTACAGTCCAGCCATGACAGTTATCTGGTAGACCTCTAAAATAGAATAACACATTAACATTTCAAAATGGTTGTTAAATATTTCATGAGTTGAATACAAGTAAGGGAAATATAAAAGTCATGGCACAAAGATTTAATTAGTTTTATAATTCATGTAACTAATTATGTACTAGTATTTAATATTTCACAGACATAAACCTTATTTAAAGACATTACGCACAAAAGCCTATACCATTTGATGTAAAATTTGGTTATCTTAGTGACTAGTTGAGCTATTTGTGAACATAAGGAATAAAAGTAGAAACAAACTTCTAAAGCACATGCCCTGGAATCTAGGATTTTCCATAGTTTGAAGGTCTATACCTTGCCATCATTAGAACATTTTAACCAGTAGGATAACCTTGAAGTTTAAATCTTGAACCCATGTTTTTTACCAGTAATGTATGATCTTGAGTTATTTCATGTTTACCTTAATTTAAGAAGATGTGAAGTAAAAAGTTCACCAGACGTCCAGGATTCAACATGACCATACATATTCACATCTGAAATCAAAACAGAATTCATGTTACCGGCAAATACAGTTATCCTAAAAAATATCTGTTTTATAAAATCAGTTATTCTAGCAACTACAACTGCTGTAATGGGAAAATTCGAATATCAGGTATCCCCAAAAATAGCTGTAGTGCTAAAATCCTAAAAATTCAGTCAATTTCATAAAATCTGTCAAGAGGACCACAATAGGAGTTGAACATGACTGCTGATACTCCATTGTAGTATCCATTACTTACCATCAGGAAACTTGACCTCCAGAGCCATATTGGCTTTCCTCTGGGCTGCCATCCATTCTAAATAACATGGTGGATAGATACGACTGAGTTGTGGTAGAATATTGGCACACTGTAGAGCTTTATGTTGACAGATTATTTTATATCCATTTACTCCCACATCAGATACATACCTACAACACAATTCATTATCATTCAAATTTGTCAAAAACAAACTGATTCCCATCTTGATTTCCGATCTGTTACTTACACACTGTAAGCATGCAGACTTTGGGGGACACATGTTTTGAAGGTACGCGTTTAATTTTTATATCATATATACTCCTCAAAATTTATGTGATGACATGATAAATACAATCAAACTGACAGACTATTTAGCATATCAGATCGTATGTTTGACCATAACTAATATCAATGTATCAAAATTCACAGCGCTGCAAAAGCAGACTTACTTCAGAAGATATTTGAAGAGTGTGGAACTGGATGGGAAACAACTCAGACACATAGCTAATAACAACCAGCCTTTTTCTACAGACTCTATTTTCTGGTTCTTCCAGGTTTGATTAACCAGTTGACAATATAGTTCATCACGTAATCCTTCATTTTGTAAACCCTGAATTATAAACATACAACTATCATTATAAACAGTAACAAACAGTATGACCATGACATTACTAGGCCTACAAATGGATTTTAAGTGGGAAAAACAAAATTATTTCACAAATGAAAACACTTCCAACCAAGTGAAATTCACTTTGATATATTATATATTCTGATAAATTGGAATTTACAAATCTCAGTTCTAGGCACATATGGCCATTCTTCATGTGGGTTAGAGAAAAGAAAAATGTCACTGTTAGTCCTTACCATTTGTACAATATAGTCTGCCACAATTTTTTGCCTCTTCTCTGACATACTTGTATCATTCATAAATCTTAAAATCTGAAAAATAAGTATCCATGAATACTTGTCAAAGACCAATTCAAAATTCACTATATAGGCAATAGCATGCCAATTGATCACCTTGTGGAATATAACCTGTCTTATCAGTAACCTGAGGCAGTATCAAGTTTTCTGAAATGATTGATTCAAAGTCAACATACCAATTGAATATATGAAGTCAGCATATCAATTGAATATAGCTGAAGTCAGCATACCAATTGAATATAGTTGAAGTCAACATACCAATTGAATATAGTTGAAGTCAACATACCAATTGAATATATGCTAGAGTTGAAGGTAATATTGAGTGTTTTGAAATGTTTAAGCCGATGGTGTCTCTCATGAAGGAATAGAAATAAAAAAATCCAATACTTACAAGTTTAAAGACAGAGATGGCTTTATGATAAATATCATTTTCTTGAACATTTGTAAGAGGTCCTCTGATTGGTTCACTTTTAGCGCCCCAAGATGGATCCTAAAAGATTATATTATTATAATAATTGTTTATTCCAATATCAAAAGTCATATTTTCTTTCTGAATCAATATAGACCATATTTGAATAGGATTGTGTCAAGCTTTAAACTTATGACTCAGTCATGTTATGCCTTTTTGTCCTTTGAATTAAATTTTTCATTTTCACCTGGAATATATCATTAAATTTGTTGTATTAAAAATTCATCATAGCTCTGTAGGTAACATGAATTTCTAACAACATGCGGCATATATTTTGAGCAAACAACAACAAAAACAACATACTTTAAAATAAACACTAGTAAATTTATTAAAGACATGAGAATTAATATCCACTGGTAGTTTATATCCCATATCCATTGGTCTAACATCACCACTAGCTGTTTTAACATGCTGAGAATGGTGGATCATATGCCAATCTGAAATTATAGGTAAGATGGTTAAATACTTAAATGATTCCAATGAGGAAGCTTCAAACTGTTGCACGAAAGTTTAATGAAAATGAAATGAATGGAGTTTTACGTCCTACTTTTCTGCACCAAGTTGCGTGGACAGTGTAATGCACATATACAAAGTTTGGAGATCAAATAGGTAATGTTGACAATTCAGTAATAATAATTATAGGAAGATAAATGAATGGAGTTAAAACTAGATACATTCATACTGTTAATTGTGAGTGACTAATGCTTGATTTGTGTTTTTACTCTCAAGACAAATTAAAACCATATCAAGTGTGATACTGCCATTTATTTGAATGACAAAGGAATGAAAGTAAACAATAATATTTATATGTGACTAGTGCTAATTCTGAAAAGATCATGTTAAGGAATGTAAAATCAGCATGGTCAAATTGACAGCTCTGATTCAGGGGCAAACAAGTTTTTTTGTAGTGGTCCATTCATTTATTTCCTCCCAGCTATATACCTGCCCTAAGGATTTATAGTCTGAGAGTAAGTGTGTCCTATATCAAGGTAGATAGATAAAGAGAATATATCAAACACTAGGGTGTTAGTGACCTAGTGTAAGATTGGTATAAACTAGTACAGGAGTTGTCGAACACGCTGACAATGTCAGATTCCACTAATCTACTAATATATCATCCTACTTACCATCTAGTTTACTAAATACAAAAGCCAGTTCTCCTGGTATATCCAGATTGTTAACACTGGCTGCAGCCTTCGCAGCTTTGGCCTGAAAATATTAACATTCATATTAACTCAAAAAAACATATCAAAATTCATATTTAACTCAACTATTTAACTCAAAATATCCCATGTTCCATATTGCATTAATGATCATATAAATCAACTTTTTGGAAATATTAAGCAATATTTCAATAAACTACTTCAAAACTTTAAAAAAATAAACACAATGAAATATTGAGAAGTATATTAAAGTCATCTTTCTTTCGAGCTGTACCTAACTTGTCAGACATAAAATACATTGACTATATTCCTTTACAAATATAGAATAACAAAAAAGAAAGACAAGAACTTGCAAAAAGAATATTTTTTTTTCTGTTCACCGCGAATATGCAAATTAATGTTCAGTTACATAAAGTATCCAGTGATTGGCTACAGGCATGAATATATTTATCACAGATTATATGATAGGTAATCATGTCTTCAGGTCTAGTCTCTTCTTTATTTTTATACTTTGCCCTGAGTCCTTCATATTACACATTCAGGTTAAAATATATTTTAAGATTATAAAGATTTATCTTCGAGATATGCCTCTGTTGATAATCATAAAACAAATGACACAAAAAAGAAATAAAAGTAAACTGACCTGCTGCTCACGCTGCATTTTTTCTTCTTCTTGTTTTCTCCTTCTCAACAATTTATCCTGTTCCAATTTACGACGTATTTCTTCTCTGGTCTAAAACAGAAATCAATACACATTAATGAACAACTAATTATAGATTTCCATTTAAAACTTTTTGACAGATTAGCAAATTAAAACTTTATCACTTTTAGTACCAAATGTTTTTATATAAAGGCAAAGAAAGCAAAATTCAATCTGTTATCCAAATCCAAAAAGTACAATGGTAACAATCTACTAAGATCTTCAATAATAAAGGCAATAATACAGGTCCAAGCAACTTTTTTTTAAATTACTGTACAAATTTTCAGGGTGTATCATCACCATTCATCACATGATTCATAAAGTACTAATACACAATCTTTACAAATATGTCATAGTGAAAGCCTTGGAATTAAACTAGGCTTTCAGTCACAACAGATAGTAGGGGATGAGAGCATATTCCCATTGGAAATTCACACTTATAGTACTAAGGTATAAGCTAATCCCTTCCTAAATCATCTTCTTAATGATCTTTTCAATGCAATTTGATGGAAAGCACAGTAAACCATTACAATACAAAAAACATCAGATTCCCTCAAGTTCCTTTTTTCCATCATTTTAAACAAAGCAAGAACAAATTAACACATCATCAGTATAAATTGGTAGTAAATATAAAGTTAACATTGAGTGGAAACAAAAGGGTTAATTGAAAGACAAAAGACTACCAGGGTAGTATAATGATAAATATTTACAATTTAACTTCATATATCAATATCAAAAATTTAACAAATTCATATTCATATGCTTCAAAAACCTCTTTTTTATTCACATTTCCTCTTTTTAAATACATCTATAAAGCAATCATTTTAAAGGGATCCAAGTTCAAATGTTACTTTTTCAAAATTTAAATTTAGTGTTGCTGCATTTTTTCTGAGAGATACTCTTTTCAACACATTTTTTTAATTTGCACAATTTAGAACATAGCAGTTCAATGGTCAATATCATTAACCTAAAGAATTTCTAGCAAACACTGTCAAAGAACATTGATTTTGCAGTATACATTCTATTGTATCAAACGATATTGTTCAAATCATCACCAAATCAGCGACATACAGATGTATAATCAACAAATTACAGCTATGGGTCCTTTCCATCCACCAAATAATATCACCAATTCCTTATCAAAAACAATCTACACTTTCAAACTTTTCTCTATTCAATAAAATACACAATAATCCTAAATACAGACATATGGACCACAAATACCTTCAATTCAATATCTCCTTTTCAACCTGCAAATTCTCTTTTTTACTAGAGTGAAACACTGAATATCTTTGAAAATGTTTGTTGAAATCAACACCAAACAGAATTTCAACCATCATCAAAATAAATACAAGGAGACACAATTATTTTCACCATTTCTCTATTTTCAATGTTTTATATCTTGAATTTGATTACCATTTGTTTTAACACAGTAGACGCAATCTAACTTTATACCTTTTTCTGACCAAAATACCCAGTCAAAACTAACTGGTAAACAACAAAGAAAATATCAGACTATAAAATCTTGCCTAAATTAATCCATAATGTTAATTGTCTAACGATTTCTTAAGAAAATCTAGTTGACTTAGTGGAGTAAAACATTAGGCTACATATAGAAGAGTCCAAAAAATGACAAATATTGACATTATACTGAATTAAAGATTTTTAAAAAATCCTTGTATTGATCACGAATAAAATTAATCAATATATATATATGCAAATTAAACTAAATAAAGTGAAGTTATATGTTCTATTTCTATAATCAAATTAAAGGCAATGTTTATCACATTAGTTAATTATGCACATAATCTAATAGATTATGCACATAAACTCATCAATTATGCAAAATATGTACATAAATGTAATTAATTATGCTTACCTGTAAATATTTACGTCGCTGTCTTCGCATACGAAACTGTGCCTGTGTCTTGATAATCCCATTTCGAAAAACGCGAAAGTCCCTCCTGTAATATCAAAGATAAAAGTAATTAATTGGTTACTTTGAGAACAAGTTGTACCAGGTTTAAAATTGATGTAGGTTGAAACATGTCTATAGAATGCTGACTGGTCACTTTGGTATTAAAATATACAAAAATATGACATTCATATAACATTACTTCATAATGAATACATTAAAATAAATCATGAAATATTTGTCAACATAAAATACACATAAAAAACTTTGTTCAGATGATGTAAAAACAAATGCATACAAAATGTTGAATAATTAACAACTAGTTGAAAGTAGGATATTTGGTTATTTAACTATTCAGATTGGATGTCTGCAATGACTGAATGAATAAGTAAATGACTGAATGAATGAATAAATCCACAAGTATTAAACACTCATTCCTCGTAGATGTACCATGCCTGGGCTACAGACAACTAATGTTAAACCTCACAAAATGTAACACACAATGCCTCCAGGCAAGAGATTATGTGGTGTTATGTATATATGATGTGTTTTATAATAAAAATAATATTCAAAACATGAGGTTTTTTATTTTGATATTGCTTAGTCTCAATTTGGTTAAGATCCAAGAACTTATTATGCAAATGAAAGGTCTTTGTAATATAACATCAGCTTATGACCAAATATAGATGACCTATCAAATCTTTTAACATTATATTATTGGCATTTATATGTAATGAAACATGGATCTTGCAACATAAAAACACAAAAAATTGCAATATTTGAATAGGTATTAAATTTGGTGTCCCAATTGAAGTGAATACTGTAAAATGAAAAACAAAATCTATGAGAAGTATGGGTGTGGCAATGTAAACCCTTTCTCTCATATAATATAGCATCAATTTATTTATAAGTAATAAAATTGACTAAGTTAAATAATGTATCTAACCATAGGGTCAGGTAAAACATAAGAGATACCTGATTTCAGAAAGAATAAGGTTTAATAGATATTTAACTGTTTATGCCAAGAACAGGACTTATACTGAGAAAAAAATGTTCAGTGTAAAGATATGAATCTGTCAGAAGAACCTTTGGTGAAAATGTTAACTTGATTGTTGTTACAAAACTTAAATACAGAAACTTAAATACAAGAGCGAATATATCATATTTCACTTATGCCTAGTTCACACCAACGGCGAATGCCGCGCTTTAAATCGGCGAGCAAAGCGCCATTATTGTTTGTTTACTTTTCAAAAAATATCACGATCTCCAAAGTAATGTTATGCTCTGATAAGCTCTGATACGAATTGGTTACGCTCTGGGGACGAATTATTACCCGATTTGATCAGGGTCTTGTAACGCTTTAAATCATGCTTTGATACGCTTTGATAAGCTTTGATGCGGATAATGATGCTTTAAATCACGCTCTGATACGATTATCAAGCTCTGTTGTGCATTGTTAAGCTCTGTTACGCATTGGAAAATTTCGAAATGGCCGATTTCATGCCGCTTTTGATTAAGTGGTGACAGGCCGTGAAGACTGGGGTCCCCGCTTTAAATTAAGCTATGTTAAGCTTTCCTACGCTTTGAGTCAAGCTTTGCTGAACTATGTTACGCTTTGATACGTTCTTGGCGCTTTAATCAATTCGTGACAGAGCGCCCAAAATTTTTAAACAGTTTAAAATTTTTTGGCGCTCTTGCCGAATATCCAGCTTTGTTCAAAGCTTTCCAACGATCTATTACGACCCTGGCACTTAAGTCGAGCTTTGTTACGCTTTGGTACCGCTTTGTACGCCGCTTTAAAGCGCCATCAAAGCGCCGTTGGTGTGAACTGAGCAAAAGAATTCCATCAGAAAAAAAATCCAGTGAAAGAAGCTTGATGATCATAATAACAATCTACAAAAGTAATGCATTTTGGGCATAACTAGTAAAAGAAGAGCATTGAGTATTATCAAAATGAAACTCTTAATGTCTTGCTTGTTAAACATTTAAAAATTTCCCAAATGTCTTTTACTTCACATCTGCCGAATTCTTTGCCTTAAATTGGATCAACAAGGAAACTAAATCACTACCAAATATTAGACTTTTACCAAGAAATGAGGACAATGTCCTTACATACCAAACTTATATTATACAAAACAAAGTATGTATACATGAACATGCATATGTATCAAATTACTGCGCAGGTAATAAATCATTACATTAATTCACCTTTGAATACTTCTTCACTTCCTTGATTGGCAAATTCTTAACATTTCTGTTCACCAAACTAAAACACCTTAATTCTTGAATTAAAAAATGACAAAATAAGTTTAAACAAACCATTTTTAAAGCTCAACATCATACATTTTTATGTGTAAGATCCAAGATCAGGTTGAGTATTCTCAAAACAATCTTAGCACTGGGATGTGCTATGTTCTTATCTTCTAACATTGATTCAAGGACATTCTTTCGAGGATACGTGGCCGGATATAGGTCTTGAATCTTGATTGATAATGACAATCAACAAAACCTTGATCAAATAATATTTACCTTTATAAAAATTTAACACTAATCCTGGGGCTAGATTTCATACAGTTAGTTTGAAACACTTTTAAAAACACTGATAACAACACATTACATCAAAACATTGGTATTTATTCTGAAAATTATGCTTTACCAGCAGACTACCAACATATTACAGATTGATCCAAATTACACAATATCCAAATTACACAATATCCAAATTACACAATATCCAAATTTGACAGTCATAGTTGTCCCATTTACACTGATTAAATACGGTAAAATAATCCTATTACAAGTAAGTTTGGAAGTAATTCGAGTTGTTCCTAGGTCAGAATAGTGCCTTCTCAAGTCTTATCTACCAAAATGTAAAATTCACTATTGGTGTTTGTGAATTAGTTTGGGGCGATGTAATCAATATGATTCATGCATTTAAAATCAACTGATATGATTTATCAATTGCCAACACACCCAAGTTTAAAATCTAGCAAAATATTTATCAAACTATATTATCTTATCCGACTGTGTCCTCTACTGCATCTATTTTTATATTTATAAAATCAGCAAAGCACGCAAACTTGGTGAATCTGATATACAATTACCCTTGATGATAACACAAACATAAAATGTCGCAAACTAATTAACAAACAGGCAATTTAGACATCAGTATGATCCAAAAATATTCAATCTTATGACATTATCAGCAATATCACATGATCACAAAGTCAGCAAATTTTAGAATTGAGCAATTCCAAATTATAAAATTAAGGAACCACAAGGTATTTGTGGTATTAACCAGTATTTTCTATCACTCCTCATCAACGCCCTATATTTAGTTTAATGAAACACAAGTATATCAGATTTATCCTGTTAAGATAACAGTGTACGCATATTTCAAATCCTTTCCTTGTGATGACAGCACTTTTAGGAACTTATGAATATTGAGATAAAGATTATATATTTGCATAACCACTACTAAAGAACAAAATTGATCACAGCTTTTGACATCCTACTCCAAGCACATGACACTAATTTAAAAACATAACACATACGGTTGTCAATGATTGTTCTTAAACTACAATTAATCCTCTCTTACACAATCTTCAAAGATAAATATAAACCCAAGGAATATTGATTTGGTCAGAAATGTCCACTGGTGAAATTTTGAATCATTTGAAGGTTACACCTCCTATCAATGTCTGTCCAGGTTGAAATTGAGAACTTCTGTTTTATCTTGTATACTCTTATCAAATATCAACCTCATTACAAACAGCTTTTTATTATCACCCTATCACACAATATAAACATTGTACATACACCAGAGTTTCTCTATGGGGGTCTCACATTCATTATTTTTATTTGTGGCCATGCAATGCAAACTGAGCTCAAGTTTTACACAAAACACCAAACAATTTAGTTACTGCACCTCGTAATATTTTCCTGGTATTGTTTTTATCTTTACTTGAAATGTCCATTTCTAAATTAATGACCCTAATGAATAGAGCTTTCACCAAATGAGAGCAATCAGATTAATGGAGTAATGGTTACTAAACTTACAAAAACATGGCATTTTTTGACAGAATTATTATCAAAGACAAACATTATCCTACAATAAGCTTATTAATTCTACCTTCAAAATGAAGATCATTCATGACAACTTACAAAGCCACTAGTTTATATCAATTGTTTTCTTTTATACTAGCTCTATTATAATAATGAGGAAATACAGTTTTATTTCATTATAAATATGATAGAAGAATGTTGGGGAAATTAAATTGCTTTTGTTTTAGACTTTCTTTGCACAGGAAGTCTAGAAAAATTAAAACAAATGATAAAAACAAAAGGTGCATACCTTTAACAGTACATTCTCAAGACATTTCTGTGGACCTTATATATGTTTATATCATTTATGATTTTTTATTAATGGCCAACTAATGTATAAATAGGTCCTGAAAAAACTGCAAACTTTTCAATGCAGAGCAGTTCATACTAAAACATGAACATGAACTTATCTTTTGATAACTCAAAATCAAGCCTTTTAGTTTACAATAAGAGACTTATGTTACATATATAATTCAAAAACACTGTGATAATCTACATGTCTATGCCTAACAATTCTGATAAATTTCATACCTTATTCTGAATACACTGAGTATATCATTATAAATTTTCTTCAATAAACTGTGTAAAATCAAGTTTCAAAAAACATAATAATCCATGCCAATTTATTACAGAAATAACTGAAACTAATTCCTTATTTTGTCAGTCTTGAAAGGCTGGATGTGGGATTTGACAAGAAGCACTATAGAAATCACAATGGCCGAACCATGTATGTCTAAAATGATGTACCACTGAATCCTAAAATAATCCACATTCAAGGATTACTTTACTTTGACCACAACAACAGTCTTAGATATCAGAACCTGAAAATATCCTATAAGCTCATGCTGTCTAGATCAAAATCTCTTTCAAAATATTGACTTCTGATTCAAATTGTCATAGATTCAGATTCTCACAGAAACAGATGAGTCCACCACTGTTCTAGATCCAGAAAGATTCTGTCTGGTATGTGATATAAATCTAATAAAATTATCAGACTATGAAATTATATATGTAATGTGTAAATTTGTCATGATGATATCTGTAATACTTATAAATAATATACAAATCAACAGCTGGTCATTTCAATATTGATTACACTAGAATCATAAATTATTGATATACCATACACCAGGGATGTTGATACAGTTGTTTAAGCCAGTCATGTCTGGTTGGATCTCTAAAATCATCAGCTGTGATTTTGGCCTTTGGCTTTGAGACATCAAATTAACCTTGCATAATTCACTTGGGTTAAAGCAATAGCAATGAACCTTAAGTAAGATTTTCAGTCAGCACATGAAGCTTTATCAGCTAGGGTAATGCAATGATAGTTTTACCTCCTACTTTCCCTTTCCCTAATAAAGATACAATAATAAAGCAATGCAATGTAGATTTCCAGGACAATGGCATTAATTTGCGACAGTCCCTTCCAAACAATTAAACCATTTCCATGTCAGCCCCTACAATGTGCACCACTGAAAGGTGGAAATGGAATAAAACATCTCTGTACCAGAATTGACTCTAAAACCTCTTAGCTAGTGAGCAAGTATCTCACTCATCAAGCCACCCACTTTAAGCATAAAATTTTGAATTCAAATTTTCTGAAGAAAGTAATTACATAATACTAGAATTTGAGTTTACCTTTGAGTTATTAACAAACTGGAAAACATCTCCATTTTCATTTGACTCATCACAAAATAAATACTTAGCATCAAATTTGAAATTTTACAGTTACACGAATAAGAAAGAATGCAAATTGCTAAGTTTAATTGAGTAAGTAGAATATTTGAGAAAGAGCTTACCTGTAATTATCAGATGAAACTAAAGACAGGTGATTAAAATAAAGATAGTTTGTTGTAGATATTGTACCTGACTACTTGTCATAAAATATGATTAAATACAACAATTACTGTCTTCATTTTATTTCTTAAAGGGACAAATTAAAACAGAACCTCAAACAGACAACTAAAGAGATATTACAACATGTTTCAGGTTCTGTTTTAATATTTCTATTAATATGTTATTTCAACAGTGAAAAATTTGTATTACTACAGAGTTTAAACAAAACTAGACAGAGGGATTCAAAATGGTAAACTCACAAAAGCTAACATTGACATATTTTTTTTACAAGTTATCTATTAAATATTTTTATTAAAAGAGACCAGAGATAACTGATAGTGATCTATAAACTAATAATAAAGAGAATGGTTTAAAGCTATTTTGAAAGGTTAATTTATTCCATGGTCGAAGAGAACTTCTTAATGTACATGATCTTTCTGGTCAAAAATCAGGTTGGTTTGTGACAACATTTACCATTGATAGTCAGTGAGAATGTCTTCTAATGGAAGATTAGGTGCTATAGCAAGTGCTTTCAAAAGCCGGCACTGTGCAAGCTTTTAATCAAAATTTTTCTCGCAGAAGCTGGAATGTTATCTTTAATATAAAGTATCTTGTTATTGTTATTCATTACCTATACAATATACTATATTATAAATAATATAATAGGACACTATAGAGAAAGTCTGAATTCATCAACTGACAATGACAGGTATGCATGTACAGATATATGTCATAATATGAATGAATACATGAATATAATAATACATCATAGAAAACCCAACCCTTGACAGTTTCGTGTTTACTTATTTGACTTATTCCAGTAGAAAGTGCATACAAAGAAAAGTGTAAATTTGCACATCTTTTTAAAAAATCATTTATAGAATAAGAGAACGAATGAATTAAAATTTGACCAAAATTTGAAATGTGGATGAACGAATAAACCAGTGTATGAAGAAGACGATTGAATGAATATAAATTATAAAGAATTTTATAATGTCGACAACCTGATTATAAATGTGACAAATTAAACCATTCTTGGTGCAATAGAAAAGTAGTTATATATGATTAAGATATTGTCTATACGTTGGTATTATGATTTTATTATGCAATATATCACATATTATAGAGAGATAAACAATGTTTACAATCAATATAGATCACATTACAAAACACTCTAGACACAATAAATATTACACTCATAAAATATACTTCTAATATTCTAATCTTATTTATTTTAAACTCTACAGGACTTATTTCAAAATCAACCAACTCTCAACTCCACAAATTGTTTTCATGAGCTACAGAAACTTGTATGTATTTCAATCTCATTACTGGGATAACACCGAATTGCATGTGATGTATGTAGAGAGGAAATTCACCTACAGTACCATATAGTCCTCTTTTGACTGGTTATCTGTATGTGCATTGTAGTCACTGGCTAAAACTAAGATAAATCAAAATTTAAGAAAGACAGCTATTGCTCACACGTTTGCTTTGTTTTTAAGCCTTGAGTCCTATCTATTAAAAATAATCACCATGCAACTGTCCTGATGAGAAATTTTAAAATCTCAGCAATAAAATATGAACTCCCATCAAATGTAATCTATCTCAGATTATTGTGCTCTGGTATATGTGTACCTTGTCATGTTGAACATGACTGCCACAAGTATGACCAACTACAGTCCTTAGTGTATGCACGATATACATCTAAAGTAATCATACTTTAAAACCATTATATCACGTAAAACATGATGTCATAATTTGGTACTACAGTAATTAGCCAATGGTCAGATTGTACTGACATCAGGTATATTAGTATGGCAGTCAGTCATGTCAGGCCATTACCAAGCATGACAAAAGTGACAAAACATAAACATCCATTAAAATCAACAAGAATACTAGGATGACAGCCACAAGTTTTGTATTGTTATCATGATTTAAGAAGGTGAACACTCTGTATTGTGATAGAAGACATGAGTGGGTCTGTCAAGTATTTCAAAACCAATAAATTGAGCAGTTCAAATTACTTTATAGATGTTATATTTGAAAGAGACATTTGGTTTATTTGTTTGTATTGCTATTCCATTTTATAGGCTTCATGTCACTTTTGATAAACATTTTAATAAATCAAGTCTTTAATCATCTCTACAAACTGAAATATTGGATATATTTTCTGTAATTTGAGCATGCAATTTATTTAGAAAAATATGCAATGACTAATAGTTCTCATTCAATGTAGTTCTTCTTGTGTATTGCTATTTTGTATGTGCTGGCTACATCAAAAGGGAGGTAAATTTGGTTGAAAATTGCACAGAGGAGATTTTCAGTGGGTGTTCATTGAAGCATCGTGCTGAATACAAGTGACAGTTGGTACAAGTTTGACTGTATGTGATGATGCTCAAAATGTGGACAATTAATGATATGAAATCATCTTAAAAGATTGCTTACCTTGCTTTCCACATTCTTAAAGCAGTCTGTACTTTAGTAGCAGCCTTCTTGGATTTCTTAAAGCGTTTTCTTGCCAGGAAGGTTCTTGTACATTTCTGTATCTTTATCACTGCTGCTTTCATAATTTTAGTAGCCTCAATGTCAAGATGCTGCTCAAAACTTTCCTTCATAAAAACCTGGGAATGAAATGGTCGATTATCAATTTCAGGTTTGGTCCATTGTTTTGTTGATGATACAGGTTTTAAAACTTCGTTAGGTTGGAACATACAACATTTTTTACATAAACATTCCACATCATGTATACTATAATATGTATTATCAGAACAAGTATCTATGGAACTCTTCCGTTGTCCAGACTTGCCTGGACCCAGTCCAATATTTGTCTTGGTTAAAAGATTTGAAAACTCTGGTTGAGACTTTGATTTCTTTATGTCATGTTTTTTGTATCTTTTTCCAGCAATATTTGTTACAGATTTACACGAAATTAGAGTTTTATCACTTTTCTTTATCTTTGATTCAAAATGTTTTCTTTTGTGATTTTGAAATTGTTGGTTTTTGGGATATTCCAATGAAAAATAATCGGCACTTGGAAAGAGATCATAGTCTAAATCTCTTTTAACATAACACTTTGGTAAAGAATTTAAATATTTTTGAACTTTTTCATTAGCTTGGTCTTTTTCATCCCATGGTTTTTCCATGCCAAGATTTATCTGACGAAAGATCATACTTTTACGCGCCATATTGAGAACAATAAAGTTGTTTGTGCAAAGAACACTAAATTTTAGTGAAAATATCTAATATCACAGAATTAATGCTGGAGGAAACCATCTAGTCCTAATTAAGAATTCCATTACAGAATAATCCAAAGTTACGTCATATCTATCACAGTCAACATCAAGATACAGTTACACTTCCAATTGTAAATTTATAACAGAGTATAAAGATAGTATAAGATAGACAGAGAAGTAAAACTATTGCATAGAAATAAAAGAGGAAGAAAATTTGGTTGACAATAGGTAAAAAGATAATAATAGATTTGGTAAGTAATTTATAGCAATCCATCAAAGTTCAGATGACAAAATCAGGTCATCAATCAACGCCAGGGGAGTCATCGTTAAAATGTCTTCAAAAATTAAAACACAAGTACAGAGTTACAAGTTAGACGTGTTTTAAAATAGAAAACAAGTCATTCTGCCTACATTAAATCATTCAGTGTCTTTTTACCCTATTGATTTAACACAACATTAGATAGACTTTATGATAATTAGATTGTAAAAGTCGTCTGTCAACACATTTTATTCTTGATTGTAAGTCAACAACTTGAATTTTACTCCTTGATATGTAAGCCATGTCAGCTATAAACTTTAGGAAAATTGAATATGCATGCCAAATTCACATTACATATCATGCAGTCTTCTCATCCATTATAAACCAGATTTTTTCAAATTAATTTTTAATATGACAACAGTTGTTAATCAACACGGTCATTCATCCTAATAAATACACCAAAATTTCTTACAAGGAAAAAAATTCTCTTAATTGTGTTTGCAGACTATTTGATGAAATGGGCCAATATTCAAAAGAATCTTTAATGAATGGGTAATAAATCTGATTGATGAAGTAAAATATCCAGTCAAAAAAAAAGAATTGTCTACTGAATTGTATATTTACCTTGGTAGCACCAATCTGATACTGATCAGCCTGAGTTGGACCTTGTGTTACTAAAATCTTGGCACAAACTTCATTTGGTAATTCTCTAGCAGGAATTTTCGCACCCAACAATAAGCATCGATACCTTTATACATTATATAGAATTTATTTAATATTTTTATAATTTCCAGAAGGGAGAATGTTTAAAAGTGATCATGTCCTGTCGTTAACATTATCTGCTTAAGCTGCACTTAACACTTGCTGGACATTATTAAGCTTGTGTTAAGCTACAAATACAACTTAAATTTAAAGACAGTATTACATAAAAGGGGAAGTAATACAAATTTGTAAATTCAAGAGGATGAACAAACATCAGGAATATTTCATGCTATCCATAGACAAGACTTAAAAAGATTATAGCACTGAAACTGTCAAGACCAAATCATCTAATTTTTCCATATCCTAGTACAAACTATAAACAGAGATATCAGCTTTGGTTTGAACTTGACCAACCTACCCAAAACTCACAGCAAAGTGATTGACTCTTGTTCCTAGTTTTTAATACAACTTACCTCTCTATAAAGTGAGGGAATTTTACCCGTATTGGATAACCCATTTTCCGTATTCTTATAGTCTCCATCATACCAGTATAGCGTAACTGCTGTAATATCACACTTTCATCAAAATGCATAGCAGTTTTAGTTGTATTTGGTTTGATACATCGAATAAAATAAGGGTTACATCTGTAATAAAAGTTTTAGAATTTTTAGGCAATGAGTAACATACTAGATAAGAAAGAAAGAGACAATTTTTTACAGGGATAAAAATGATTATCTGTACCCATTTACAGCTAGGTCAAAGAGGAAAATCACTATCAGAATATCACACATTCTGTTAACTCTACCATATTTTATCATAGTAGATCTCGTTATTTTTGACCTTGTGACCTTTTACTTAGGAGTTTTTAGGAACTCCTTTACTCTTAATACACTGACCAACACTCTAAGTGACTAACAGATCTTCATTATATATGCTTACCTGGTCATAGTATCAATAAGAGACAGTAGAGATTCCCCAAAACTAGCAGCTACTGTAGCTGTTTTAGGTTTTAATGTGATATAACGTCCTGTCGTTTTACTCAATGTTTTAGTTATCAATCTATCTCTCATATCTTTAAACATCTGTGATATCATCTACAAATAATAATAACAGATATTTCATTTTTATTCTCATAACAGTTGATCAATAAACACATAAATATCTGAGTGTCTCCAAGCAAGCAGTCCAGCTGAAAATTTTATATCCGTGAAGAATACACCTTGAACCAAAATTTCTTTAAGCCAATGTCCTAAAACATTGAGGACAAATACCATGTTTCATCAATGCCAGTTAAGATAATTCAAACAGAATACAAAAGAGATGACATGGTTTAGACCACAATGAAGTGTGCAATAAATGGACAATACTATCAGAGTTTGTAAAGATTATACCTGATTTTTACTTTCACACATCAACTCTATAACATGGCTTCTTAGTGTATCTTTATTCTTCTCTATAAAATGAGTTACCTGTATAAGATAATTAACATAGTCATTATTTTTCATTTTAAATCAACATTAACATCTGAAAACAATATTATACAATTTAGCACCTCAGATTTTTATTTTTCCTGAAAAGTAATTCATTGTATTTTGCTGTTGCCACAATAGTTTCTTTAGCAGGTCAAAAAAAGCAGCATCAGTTTCCAATTTATAACAAACTTTCTCATGACAAGGAGCTATGCTTTAAACCTTAAACATCTAATGCCAAGTCAAGACGGCACCAATTGAACAGATTTGAATCTTGTCTTTATGCTGCATCTAAACTGCTGTAACATTTAAATCCGATCAATTTTAAGTTAAACTTACATCATATTTAATATGTCCAGCATAATGTGATATAGAGAACTCCATACCAGACATTCTAGGTTTACCATATAGAGGATTACTACCATGGTGATAATGACATTTCTCTAAAAATGATTGATCTGAAGCCTGCAAAAAAAATGTTTGTTATCATATAAAACAGAACCAGAATCTTAAAGTTCCTTAAACTATATGATATCCAATTTACTTTAAAAACATAGCTTACAATAACTAAGTTATTTCTATGAGCCTAACAGGGCATTAGTAATTGTAGAGTACCTGTGGTTAATTGGTATAACCTTCCCGTTCATGCATTATTATTATGATTTAAATGATTTTATGTCTGAAACACGTCAGTAGCAAGAGAAGAGCTCTTGAAAATTATATAGAACCAAGTTAGATATACTTTTACAGTCAAAAAGAAAGATATTTACCTGTGGGAAGTTTGATTCATCATCTAATAAATGTAAAATACCAGCAGGTTTAGTTGATATAAGATCTATAGTAGGTTTATTATCTATGAAATCAATATGATTCCATCTTATCTTTTCTTTAGTATATTCCTGTTGTTCCAATCGAAATATATGTTGATTAAAGAAATATTGTAATGTTTCATTAGCATAATTTATACACAATTGTTCAAAACTATTTACTGAGAAATCCTGAAAAATAAACAAAACTATTGTTAAGAAAGAAACAATCATTTTTTAACAAGGATAATAACTTTGGTTCACAAGGATCCTATCTAGCAACCTCTGTGCATTGATCATTGATTATCCAGACCTATATACAGCTCGGTCAACTGATATCATTAGAGAAGATGACTCACTCAAGGTCACAAGGTTTTCCTACAGCAACTGAGATAAAAACCTAGAACCATCAAACAAATGAAGTCATCTAAAGCTATCATCACTCTAAGCAACTGTGCTTCAGCTCCTCCTTGTTACTGATTCTCCTTCATGGGTTACCATATGTCATCAAAATCCATCATATCTAACTTGCACTGTCTATTCTAACAATATGATGTGCATATCATAGATGGCACCTTGTAGATGGCAGTGAAAACTGAATCATTGTTTGATGTAGAAATTAGGATTTAATATATTGCTAATGAAGAAAATAAATGATAAATTTACCTCAAAACCAAAAATATCTAAGACAGCCAATGATGTGTATTTTTCTCTCTCAGCATGGCAGGTTGTAGAGTTGATTTTCTCTACCATCCACGTAAATAAACGGGAATATAAGGCTTTGGCAATGGCATCTCTATAAAAACAAAATGACCAAATAGATTTGAACCAGAATTAAAAACAATAAGAGTTTAAATCCTGAAATCAAATCCTATAATTGAAAAGATATTGTCTTTATAGCCATTTGTTTGCAAGGTCAACATAATTACTGATAAAACAATTGTTTCGGCATCTTACCTGGCATCTAAGGCTTGATCTAAATTATAGGCAGTATAAACACGATCACCTCTAGCTTCCTGTAAATCAATATATAATAATTAAATCACGATTCTGTTTACACGGTATCACGCAATTTGATTGGATAACAGTGGTCACGTGAATTCGGTTTATATCTGTGTAAACGGAATGTAAATATAAGCTCCGCCCTTAACGGACTACTTTTATCTTTGAGTTTGATTGACTTGGCCACTACACAGCGTCGATGTCTTTCCTTCGAACGTCACCAGAGCCGAAATCGACACATCACTGAATGATTACGGTATTTTCCAAATTCCCTCTAATGTGCATTCTCCAAATATCAACAAAATCATGAACCTTGGCTTTCAATAATTGAACTTTAAATTTGGCCACTCAGTCAACTTTCAAGAAGTAGACTATAAATAGGTGACCTACTTATTGCTGATTGGCTGTTCTCTTAGACGTCTCTATTGTTAGTATCAGTTCATTAAAGTTATGTTAAAATTTTAGGTATTTGTGCGTCAATTTTGTGCCTTAGTTTGTTGCTATTTTAGATAAATATTTAACCATGTATTCGAGTTGATTTAATTATAAGGAATGACCTGAACATTTTTTCAGTTTATCAATGTATTCATGTCATTCCTTAAATATTCAAATCATTTGACAGTTTCTTATCATTGAGCCTGTCCCTAGATAATGAAATCCTTGTACCAGATTCCCACAACCAACTATATTCTTGCTCTAGTATTAAAAGTATCTTTATTTGTGTATTGGGATACAGATATCATCCCTTTGCACCATTCCAATGCTCAGTCAGAAGTCTGTGGTTCTTGCACTTCATGTAAAACATAGTGACATCTTTACAACTCTTTAACATCTCTGTATAAGTTAACAGAAAGAAACATTTCAACTCAATTAAAATGCCTATTATTAAAACGGTACTTACAGTAACTTTACTAGTTAAGGACTGTTTTAACCAATCTTCAGATAATTGTAATAAATGTGATATCCATTTTATTTCTGCATCACTTCCTAGTTCTACTGTATTATCATTATTTTCATTCTGAAACACAAATAAATTTCAGTTGAGAAACCAGCAATTTTTCTATAGGTTTTATTTACATCCATTTCTGAAATAATCTTTAATTTTTCAATTCGTGACAAATATAGTACTGTACTGTCTTTTTTTTATTACCGGTATTCAATTATATCACAAATTTCAGGCAAATTTCATTGACTACATTATATGGATGTAACAAACTCTTGATATCAAAAACAAAGGGTAACTCATTTGATGATGACATTGCTTTTCATCATATAATCGTAGAAACCTCAAAAAACACCCAAAAAATTAGCTACATTGTCATTACATTGTATTTACATTAGCTACATTGTCATTACTTCAATTCATCTCTATACTCTTACTATTACTATTCTAATATTAATGAATATATAGCATCTCTTTTGTAACAATATAAAATATACAGTACAACATGTATGATATAAACAGACTTACTGAGATCTCTTTAAAATAAATATTTCCAATATGGAGAACACTCGATAAGATTCTGAAAACGGTTTCTCTTTCTTGTTTATTGAAATTCAGAACATCCATAGCTTGTGTCATTTTACGGAAATTTTCTGCATCATCTCTTCCAGCAATAGCAGAGTTACCTCCCTGTAAATAGAAAGTATATTGAGTACTTACTTTTTTTTCTTATGAGTACCCCATATGGGTTGGTCCCTGAAGGGTAAAATGACCCATAAAAGATGATAAGTTTCACCACATTCCACTTATCATTTTCAATCTCACTGAACTTTAAATTAAGCTCCATCGATGCCATACCACACGAAAAGTTTCTTACCTAGTTCCATGCCAACAACCCTGTCTCAGTGAATATTTAGAAAGTTGATATAATTTCCATATAATCTGACCCATATAATATTAACTTTAAACAACTGATAGTTTACCTGATTGAGATAGAAATATTTAGAAGCTGGCTGTAAACCATATTTAGCTTTCTCAGCATCTGACATAGCATCCAACATCTCATAGAAAACATGGTAGTTTCTTTCATCTGATGCCTAATATACAAAAATATTGAATATAAGATATTGATAATGATGTAAACAGTACTAAATGAGATTTTAGTCTTCATACTGTAGAACAGTTTTCTCATTGCCTTATCCTAATATCATAATTTGAACTAGTCACTGTGAAACCTTCCAACCTATGTAAATATTCTCTGCAATATTTCACATCATATCATGTAACAAAGATGGACTCAGATTAAGAGCTTAAATTTTGTTTATTCGATAACAATAAGGACAGATCTCAATGAGATTTGAGTCTTCATACTGTAGAATAGTTTCCTCATTGCCTTCTCAGTTTGCTAACTCATAAAGTCGTAATCCCATTTCCATCTAAGTTAAGAGAGGAATACAAAGACATGTCAAAAGCATAACATTAGCTCTTTCATGAACTAAAGTTAATGTGAAATGACTGGATCTTCTCTGCACTAACATTTCACATCATACCATGTAACGATGTTTTTAGATTGTATTTGTTTTATCTTGTCAGGTTTTGTTATTTATAAATTAAGGGTTATTCTGCCTTAAATAAAAGGTATTAATATTCAATTTCATTTAGTGTAAATAATATGTGTATTTATAAATGTAATAGAAAATCATTATATACCAGTTATCATAAGAATTGTGCAACATTAAGACTAACTGGTATGAAATAATATCTTCTTGATCCTAATTTTAAACACCTATGGGGTGAATATTAATCTTATAAAATCTATATAAAATATATTGAATTATAACTATAGATAAGATGAATCATTCAATCATTTATTCAGACTTATTTGGCTCATTTATGTCACGTTTTCTCTTTGTTCTAAAATCAAATGATTAACGATTAAGATATGGAAATTGATAGCCAAGACAGTTGTATATGAAAGATATATTTATATATGCAAAGAGCTAAAGTAATCTGAAATTAAAATATGTAATGTGTCCTTAATCTGCCACTGTATGATGTCAACATAGGCTGAATGTGTTCATAATAATATAGGGTGTGGAGAAAGTTTGGAGTCTACACCCTATATAACAAAACAACTGGTATAACATAGATATCATGACTCTATCAATCATCTTTTCATGTCAATCTCTAGCAGTGAAGCATCTTATATAGAAATTCAATTAGAAAGTACTGATCCATTAATCTGATTCAAATAATTTACTTTTCAGGGACAAAGTTTGGATATTTATTTTCTGTTCCCTAGGTCTCATTACAACTTATGGAACATATTTTATACAAAAATTGTTACTGCTCAGTTTAAATATTTCATCCCAAACAGAAAATGAGCTTTAAACAATGTATAGCCCCGTTTACATTAGACAACTAGAAATGAAACAAAATTTACACCATCAAGATTAAGAGTGTTCAGAAAAATGTTGCCAAATAAGTGTGCTGTTCTTAGACACTTTCTAAAACTTGTCACAAAAGGTACTTATAAACATCTATTCAATACTACTAATTTTCATCCATTCCAATCTTAAAACTGTTCTGAGAACAAAGAACATTTGTAATATAAACAGGGAGCAGATCTGAAATACTACAAGCAACAATAACAATATGAAGGCTTCAATGTCGTTTTTATGTTTGATTATCCAGTCTATTATAGTCTATGTTCAATACAATCAATAACTGATAGAGTTTCCAGACTTAATAGCTGGTATACATGATATCAATTGTTCAATCAAACATTCACATATCAATCAAACTTTGTCAGCTTTCTTTTCAAACAGACTTCATTTTCACAGAAATATTGACATATACATTATAGAACAAGTTCAATGATACTTGAAACTTTCCTGATAAATGAACTTCAATCAGTCTAATGGTAATGTAACATGATGTTCAGATGCTGATTTCTGTGTTAATATTGTTGATTATCTGATGATGCATATTTTTGTGTGACAGATGATGTTTTTGTCACCTACTTATGATTATATTTTTATGGGGTTCATCAGAAAATGACAATGATTTACATGATGGCAATGTAAATGGTTGTACTACTACTCAACTTATGACGATTTAATCATACTTTTGTAATTTGTTGAAATGATTCATACATGATAACTCCTTATAAAGTAATAGGCTTTGATCAACATATGGTATTTTAAGAAATTGTCACCCATTCTGGACTCTTCGCAGTTTAATGTTAATTGATATATACTAGGTATATATTGACTTACCTGGTTGACAATACGAGATTTTTCTAAAAGATATTCTTGTGTTCTAGCACCAACCATAGATCCTCTGTAATAATAAATTACAATATAACATCATATCTACATTAACTTTTGTATTATATTCCTTTATTTACACATCATTATACAGTCAATATCACTTAGATAGAATAAAAGATCGCCTTTTAGCAGTGGTGATTTCTTTCCATTATGTTATTTGATGCCAAATTAAACCTGTTCTTTTCTATTATAACAGAATTTCACTGAACAATTATAGAAGGTAATCAAGCAACATGAAGGTCATCATTAACCTTATGTCCTAGTCCATCAACTCTTTATCAAGAAGAAAATATGTTGACTGTTATAATGTTGGAATTTCTTCTTTGATAACTTTGGTGACAATTAAGCATTGGCCGCTGTTTTCTACAGGCCTGATGACAAGGCATGTTTCATCTACTGCAACATCACATTGCGCTGGATTCCTCAGTATGTAAACAAGCATTCTGATCTACTTTCATTTTCATTGAGTTGGACCCCAAGAAAGGAGTATCTAACTCCACAAAATTGACTTAATAGCACAAAGTGATACTGTCAACATGATATTTTCATAGTATGAATAATACTTTCTGTTTCTGATTGTCTGCTAAACTTACTTTTTAAAGAAGACTTCAATATATTTTCCAAATCTGCTGGAGTTGTCATTCCTGATTGTTTTAGCATTACCAAACGATTCCAGTAGAGGATTAGATTCTACTATCTGTTCTGTGATTAAATTGTTACCACTTTTATTGACGGCTGCAAGATATTGCATCACCAGTTTGGTACTCTCTGTTTTACCAGCTCCACTTTCTCCACTGAAATGAGACAAGGCTGGTATTTACATGAGTTGCAACAAAAGTCCATCCTGCAAATAAATGCCTTCTATTGTGAAGTATTGATACACAACCATACAATATAACATACTGTATTAATTCACTAATATATCTAATATGTACATTTATTAGAAATAAATACATCAAATTTATCATTCATCATAAACAAAATCTTTAAAATGATATAGTAATGCTAATTATTTCAATTCTGACAGAAGTGCATAGGGTTAAAAATAGAAATGAATCCAATAGATCACATACAAAAACCAGCCCCAGTCATAGGTACATCAGAGATGATTTATTTACCAGTTCTTACCTGATGACAATAACTTGATTTTCTGTCGCTTTCATCATTTTAGTGTAAGATGTACTGGCAATGGCGAATATATGCCTGAAATTATAGATATTATTTATATAGACAAGATAGATATGGAAAAAGTGATAGAGCTTTTCCACGATATATCAACAATGGTAACATTTTAAGGATGTAATGGATTATCAATTGGAAACAAAGCTTTTATTTCATCTTATAATTGGGTAAATTATTTTAAAGAATAAGAATAAAAGTCAAAGCATAAGCCTTTTCTGTATCTTAGAATTTGAAAAAAAAAGTATCTGGAGAAAAATCTATGATGATATACTAAAGCAATGGATGCCTTAGATTCAAAGTTATTTTAAAACGACATTTTTTGCTGTGAAGTGAGTTATTTGTTTAAACTGACACCTGTTGAATATTGACGAAGACCGAGTAGTTAAATGACCGGAGACAGTAGTTACAATAAACCATCGGTCCCTAGTTAAGTCAATGAAACTAAATAACTGGCACTTTGGTGAACAATATGGTGGGTCTTATAGGACATAAGTCTTTTCGATCAAATGTGCAAATAGGTAATCAAGAACACAAGATAGCAAAGAACAAAACAATATTTGGAAGCAAATTAGCATTTGGAATTTTGTAAGCAGAAATTTGTATGTGCATTTTGACATTACCAAATCACAATAAATTGACTTGTTAAAATATGATGTTTCATTACTGAACTGTCCTATCAAGGAAGACGGCAGGGGACACCATTCTTTATCAGACACTAATTGCAAATAGAAATACATAACCATTTCGAGTTGTGTTATACCTATACTTTTCTTAACATTCTCAGCACCCAACCTAATATATTGAGGGGTGTACTCAAAAAATATAACCCAAAGTCCACAATAAGCCACAATAGAGACAAAGTTTCAATCTTCTTACACTATTCAAATCAAACATCAACACAACATCATTGTTGATTTAAGGATTTTGGTGTAAATGTAGTTAGTGTTTATTGTTTATACTTTAACTTGTAATCAATGTAACCTGTCTTAACAAATAGTTGTGGCAGACATTTTTCTTTTCCCCTGTCAGTTTATCAATGGGTTTTTGTTGTTTTTATCAAAGACATGACATTTTTAAACTGTGAGTTTTTTTCTTCCGGTCATGATTTATTCAAATGAAACAGTCTCCAATATAGATAAGTTCTAGTCATGTAAAATACAAAGAGATGTTTCCAATAATAACTTCTGTCATAAAGATACATGACAGTCTTACAAAACAAGTGGGACCAAGTAAGGTAATGATACACAGTTGATTCTAATCAAACACTGTTGTATACAGGATTATTAGTGTATTTTTTCTTAGTCAATAACCAATAATCTTCAATGTGTTTCTGTGTGTATTATTCAATGACTCATGATATTAAATACAACCATAATCTTTTGTTGACGATGAAGACACATCTTTCTAAGGTCTTTTCTTTCATCTCAGATCACCATACTGTCACCAGCAATGAGGTGATGTATATCATAATTGTGCTCCTGAATCAAATAGATGAGAACCATTCCCAGCTCCCCACATTTACTGACAAATTTTGAGACCTTCAACTAGCAACTAACAGGTCCTGGATAAGTGGTGTAATCTGTAATCTGTGTCAAAAATGTTTGAAAACATCATGCATCATGAATTGCTTATAATTTCCATGAAAGACAACAATTTGTAAAATAAGTCCTATTATCAATACTTTATAATATAAAATATGATGCACAAGATAAAATAATCAGTCTCAACAATTCAAAACAAACAAAAAGTCTGATGCACATTTGAACACTTAAGGTAAAAATAGTCATGAAGTAATTTACAAATTCTTAAAAATAGAGGTAACATGAAAGCACTGACAACTGTATTTCCTTAAGTATGGGGAGGTCAATATATATTACAAGGATATTTTGTTCACAATGATGGTGAAATAGACTGTCAACATTCAAATCAATTCTAATTTGGGAAGGGTCTAGGGGGTGGGGTGAAAATGAAGTCCAATCAGTTTCATCTTCAAAGTTGCACCTTATCTGTAACATTTCTCAATTACTTAGACAAACAAATACAGACTACAATGTTGCAACTGCACTAAATTTGAACATGTTATGTTTGCATAACATCTGACCATGGGCATTGAAGGTTTGGGTAAATGAGATATGCCTATATCATAATGATCAACATAATAATAGGGATACAATATAACTATCAGGGCATAGCAATCATATACCATATAGATAATCACTTAGTTACCTAGATCAGATTACATATTCTTTATATAGAAAAATACCTGGGGTATCATATCACTACCCTCCTAAATAATGATATTCTATACTGTAACACTTAACTGATATTTTCTCACTTTTTAAATATCTTAAATGCCTTACTATATTTTCATCAGAATGACATCATATATCATGTATACATATACACATTGGAAAAAAATCTAAAAAAACAACTAAAACTGTAAGATAAGCATACATCTCTCTATATCGACTATATGAACCAGTAGATACTGAAAACTTTTAGTTTAAACAGAAATTATGAGGTGTATGTCCATGATCTAGATTTCTTTCAGTTTGTAATAAAGCATGTATACATGTATATGATCAAGCTGCAATTTTATGTTTGGATTGGGAATATTTAACAAAAGTCAAGTAAAAAATTCGGATTTTAGAAGTATATTTTAGATTTTTTAGACCACTAGATTGTCTTTTAATCTTTCATTTCAGGTTCAAGTTTGAGATTTTTACAAGAAATAATTCAAATTTTTCTGACTAACACGAATTCAAATTGCTTCAATGTTTTTTATGAGTAAAATTGAAATTCATTTAGAAATTTTTCATTACAAAGAAAATCAAGAAACAGTAATGTAAAGATTGTGAATATTAAATTGTTAATATTAATTTCAAGTTGTAAGATTTATGAATAATTTAAAACAAGCTGTGTCAATCTTATAGAAATAAGATCAATAATAACAAATTTATACATAGTTTAAGAGAATCAATAAACATAACATGCCATGTAAATAAACAATAACATGGTAACTACAGTTTTATCTGCAGATTGATTGGAGTTTAATAACTACTAGTAATTTACATATCTGTTACAGCAATACTTTTACAGATCTGAGAATTAAAGCTCTTCTAAAGTGAAGAACACAAAAACAGGTAGAAATTTGCACATGTTGTTGCACCCTTTTGAAAAAGAGATCAGGTCAAACCTGGACTCAATGAAACAAGTAATTTTTTGCTTAGCATGAGAGCTTTAACAAATTGTAGAGTGAACTCAGAAAGGATAAGAGAAATACTTACGGTGGTAAAGATCCAAGGGTACGACCCTCATAACGTTTAACCATATCCAATCCATATATATTGTACATACGATATGGATTAACAGCCACCAAGATACTTCCTGTATATGTCTGAAATAGAAAATACAGTTCATTGATAAATTACCAAAATACTCAGTGTCATACAGTACAGCACCTCAAGCTTCTAGATATGGAAATTTGTTAATTCAATTGATACAACATTCAATATAAATTTGGTTTATATTGGAAATAAAAAATATGATTTGATACGATCAAATTAGTTTATAAAAATGATAAGTTGATAGTTTCATTATTGAATCAACAGGTGCATCAGAGTGGGAGTGGTAGTTTAGCTTTAGTTTCCCGCTTCATATAGCCTAGGCTAAATATGGAATTAGACTTCACATGAATGTACCTTTATTTTGCTTCAAAATTACACTTTTCTCCCCTTTTTAACAAAGCCTAGGCTGAATAAGCATTATCTCCCCATAGTTTTGAATGAAAAATACAATTCAGCCCCGCGACAATTTGGGTGGGCCTGCCACACCCAATCAGCAATAACAATATTGTGCATTTGATTATATATATTTTTAGGTTTTTAGCCAATAATTTAATTTCTGTAGATTAAATTGACTGTTTTTGGTTGATTAGTAAACTTTTGTTTTGAAGTGTTTGACCATGATACTACTATACATCAATCAACAAGTATGCTGTTTGGTCCAAACAGGATAAGTAGCAAATATCATCACAAGTTTCTTGACCTTGACATTCCTGTATTTTGACACTTACAAGTGTTGTAGTAAATATTTCTGTAATGTAATAATCATGTCCAGATTGGATTGTGACTTGTTTACCAAACAAACAGCTGTTGACTATACTAGTACAACTTGATACATCTTTAATAAGCATACCTCTTAATGACTTTCAAATAATCTCATAAACCAGCAAGCAAGAGTACTTAAAAACAATTTTAAAATGAACCCTTTATATTCAAAGAGACGTATGGAGCAGCTTGCTACTCAAAACTTGTGAAATAACCTTCACAATCAATCTTAGGTACCTGCATTCAGACTAGGAACCAATTAAGTGATAAATTTTCATTTCATTAATAAATCTAATGTGTATCTATAGGGTATTGAAGGATGTGGAAATTAGAGAAAATGATGATCCAGATCCAAAAAAAAAGTGTCTTGGTTTCTGCTGATGAGTTGAATATTATTTCTGTTGCATGAGGTAAAGATGTCTCAGATAATATACCATTATGGCTATTTAACATCTATTTCATTATATTCATCACAGGAAAAAAATGGTGAACCTGCTAAGATGTAGATCACGATCATTTCAGAATTCTTTACATGTTTGATCTCATCTCAAGCCAATAAGATCTAGAAGCGGAAAGAATTCACAAAAAATCTGCCATCTTTTTAACAACATGTCCGTAATCGTGTTTTATCTTTTTCTATAGACTCAGGTTTAAGAGTAATCTTAGTTAAACAATAGGTGAATACGTGAATAAATACAGAGATACCTGTCTCTATAGTATTTATTATACTCCATACATCACACTATATAAACAACACCCATTGATTTTATATTATCTACATTTTACATCATATTAATCACTATATCTTTCATTATATTACAAAATATATGAAAGTTTCCATTTCATATCTATTACAATAAGGAAGTTTTAAATAACAGAACACTATTTTATGGTATATTATTACTCCTGGGTTTTGTTGCCCATAAAGTTTCAACAATTTACATTGTCATCATCAATTGAAAAAGTTATATGGTATGATATGCATAACTAAATGTTGACTAAGGATTTTTAAGAAAGTTTGTGTTTTGTTATTCATGGACACCAAAACAAGACTATACAGGCAACTTCAGTTTCCCAAATCACAAGCCAAAATCTGAAAGCGTTCTTTGAACCATTTGTTATCAACTTATTGTCTGTTCTCTTATTATAGCTGGTGACAATTGACTTCATTTAATAGTTAAAATTCACTATTGATTTCACTTTTTTCATTTCATGATCAAAAGAAATATGCTTCCAATTAAAAGTTTTTTATATAAACAATATTCTATTCAAATAACTTAACGAACATCCTTTTACCTATTAAAATTTTCAATTAAAATTACTAAGATAATCTGTAAAGTTTGGTCCATGATTGATCTAAAGACTTTCTGGCGTACTTTGTATGCAAATTTTTGGTGTTCCCGATAAATTCTTGTGACCTAGTTAAATGTTAACCAATAGAATTCCAGGTACTTATTACATGCCTACTTCAACATGGGGGTTTTTACAAGCTCACTGTGTTCATCTCCCATTCCAAAAGTAACACAAAAAGTTTTCTCTCCCTCTGCCACTTTATTTACAATCTGGATGACATGTCGTTTATGGTAGCTCTGCAAGAAGGTGCCAGAGGCACCTCAATCGTGAAAAAAAATACGGTCAAAGTATGCTGTTTGCACGTCCCTATAATTTGAAGACAACAAAAATTGTACAGCATTACGTCAAAAAATCAGTAAGTGTTCAATTTCAGTGAATGAGTACTTTTATCAAAAAAGAGATTTAAAAGTTGTAGGTCTGAATAGGTCTTAATGTGGGATTTCTCTTTAAGCATTGAGTATTCCAAGAGAAATTAGGGCTCAGAGATTAGATATTGTTGACACAATTTTCAGACAGAGTAGGTCTACAATATTAGGGGCTATTTAAACACTTAAGTATCACTTGTTGGATATACTGGATTATTTATAAAATTACTTGAGGATCACTCCAAAATGCCACAAGATACTTTAAGTTGGAATATGCTTTTCATATTTTGCTCAAAAAAGATAAAATTTGGATCAAAAATCACTAAGATTTCACAAAATATCCTTTATGGATGACCAGTGTGTCTGTCCTTTCTGATTGCAGTTTTTAATAGACACCCATAGATAGAAGATTTTTTTCATTAATACCCTCACTTTAAATTGATTTCAAATCAGCTGGGATTAGTAAAAAGAAAATATTACAACAGTGCTGAAATAAAATAAATCTAAAGATGGTTATTCATATTGACAGAGTTTAACATATGTTTCAGATATATCAAAAAGACTCAAACATGACAGAAAATAAAACTAGGTATGTATATCAGGGAGACTTCAACTTGATAGACAATAAAAAGAGGAATGTTAGAAATCATGTAATATATAAGCTAATCCCTTGTTGATAAGGTAAAACACCTGAGAGAATACCATACTATATACATGATTGACATATTACAGTAAAATATTCATCTAACAATAGCCAATCCATCTCACAACATGGGAAGTAGCAGGTCTAAATTATATCAATCTGATTCAAATGCAAGTTTGAAAATAAACAATAAAGAAATGACCGTTTTTACACGAATAGCCACCTAGGTTCACAGGATCAAGTTTACAAGCTGGTCTTTGGCCACCCCTTTTGCATTGATCTGAAATATCTGTACCTATTTACAGCTCAGTCCTTTCATTTTTCTTCTGCAGGTGACACCACTTCTTACCTCCCATGATCTGACGAAATTGTTACGCTTCTTATGCTCATATACTCTTCAACCTATCATATGCTCTGTTCAATAAATGATTTTATATACTACAGATAGAATTCTGTGATATATATTGTTAAAATATGACTTGTATTGTTAGTGCACATGTAACTAATTAATTTAATTAATTGGCTTTTCTACCAAATATTGGCACAATCAGAAAAAATACAACTGAACATGATATTAACAAAAAATTCTGTCAGATCAACGATGACAGGTCTAGTAACCTGCAGAAAAAAATGCACTTAAAACATAAAAATCTGCATTTTAGTCATAATGAGACTTCTTAAAGCTGATCAAAATAATTGCAGACTTTTAAATTGTATCTATTTCATAGACAGACTATAAATTGTGGTTAAACATGAATAAAATATTGTTCAAGGAAGCTTATTAACAGTTAACAATTTCTCCAGGCAATTAATAAATAAACAATACATTGTACAGAGAACTCAGTCAACTTTATTTATATTTTCAAGTATAATTTATGAATAAAAATGACACAAAATGTTGAAATTTGAGTTTTCTATATTGTTTATATTGGGTCAAGTTGTTTTTTATTACCTTGTCTGAATATATCATACACACTTCATATAATCTATTGTAATAATACAGTAGGTCAGTACAGAATTTAGTAAGGAATTCCTACAGGGTACTGCACTATAATGTATTAAAGTGCCTTCACTTTTGCAAAAGACGAACTTGTTTGGCAAGCACAATATGGTAGGCTATGGGACTGACAGGTTCTGACAGACTATATCACTTCATGTTCAAGACTCTCCTGCATACAACAAAGTCTAAACAAAAAAGTACTGACAGATTTCTTCTTCCCTCTTAGGATTACAATATTTCTGTAACAAGGGATATAATTATGCCAAATGCTACAAGACAAAACACCAAATCTTGTTTTACTTAGATTGTTCTATGACTGCTGGAATCTACCAAGGGAGAGAACTATAGTATAAATTATGATGAAATAGAAATATATTGATCTGAACAATGTGATGTTATTGAATAAATATAAAAATACATCAAAAAGCTCATCAATAAATATTGACACCGCTATCATAGAATAACAATATCTAACTTAGTCAAACAACTTAAGGAGAAAAAAAAGCCTATTGAAATTCCAAAAGAGGAACTTGCAGTCGATATTATAATCTATTAAAAAAAATATGAAATAAATAAGGAATCATTATACATTGAGTTGTCAAGCAACAACACAAACACAACCCCCCCCCCCCCCCCCCCTCCACCATCAATAACAAAATTTAAAAGGAGAACTGTGTAAATCTCATAACATGCTGAATCTCCCTTATATTATGTACTGTATGAACCTGACCAGGATCTCTACTTAAACATCATTTAATAAACTTAATATTTCATTTTCAACTTTATTCTAAACAAATGACCAAGATAAAAGCTAAAATATCATAAAATCATTGAGGCAAATCATACAATGAAAATTGTCCACATAACTATCAGCCTGAGGGGAGATTTACATTGGTCAATACTACTTTGTATTAATCCTTATCATTAAAATCATAGTCTGCAGTAAATAACTTAATGACTAAGTGTATATCATTGTTTTTGCCTGATATACTCTAGATCTTTATCTGATAATTGTGCACATCCAAGATTTTAAGAAGAAAAAAGAGAATATACTATATCATGAGATTCATAAATTCATAAATTGTTTGTTTTTATGTTTTAATGTACTGAATAAAAATAAGCATTTGTACTATGAATGGACTATGCAGTATTAGACAACACTATTTATAGATTGCTGGCCAGTTACAGTTCCCAAGTTATATTAAGATTATTCAATTTATTCAATAGATTTTATTCAGTTGATTGAACAGGGAAAGGGTGTATTTATTCAATTCAATCAATGCATGAAGTAAATATTCAACAATTAAATTCAAACTATTTGATAATTGTCAAACACAAGGCAGAGAAAACATAATATTCTTAAATTCAATCAATACACAAGTAAATATTCTTCAACAAATTTCAATGCATCAACAACCTCAAACACTGAGAAATATTGAAATAAATTCTTTATCTTATGAACATTTTACACAAACATTCAAAACAATCTGCAGAATACTTGAGAATAATTGATGGAAATACCACAATAAGAAGAATACATGTAGATAAAAATCGATCGAATTTTTCATATTTTACCAATTATTACTAAGGTGACGGAATTTTAGTAAGGCACAGGAAATAATTGTTTGCCATAACAACCTTAGTGCATCATAATAAAATAATATATCTGGGCAGTAAAATCTTAAAATACTTACATAAATAAGTTCTCTGGCATATCTTGCTTTAATATTGTTCAATATGGATTGCTCATTCAGATCACTGTAAACAGAGAAATCAAAATATTAAATCATCTAGTCCTCAAAGTTATAACTAGTGTAAGCATGTTAATTGGAGGATGGACGTAGCATAGCGAATTAAAGTGTCAGAATCTTGAAGCTATCAGCTTTGGTACATTGAAAATATGGCGATCAAGAGTTCGCATAAATCATTTTTTCTAATTATCTCAGTGGTCCATCAATGGATGTTAGAGACAGGCCAATGGTACAGACAGACCAATTCCATAAGGTTCAGCCAAGTGCAAGTAATTAAAGATTCTATCCTTTAAAATATGATAGCCCTTTGAGTTTTTAAAGCAAAATTTAAGAACAGGACACAAAATTGGCACTTTAATGGACACTTATTACAGAGGCCACATCATTACGGATTTTGTTTTTTTCTCTAGACTATTTACTATTCTACTCAGCTTGAGCCATGTTGGACTGTCAAATCAAAGGGAATGTTTGAATGTAGAAGAAAATAAAGTTGTCAAATGAGGGACAGTACTGATTGACATCTGTCAAATCCAGGTTGAATAATTTCCCTGGTTTTTGTTTTTTCTTATTATTATTCAGATGCTATTGTTAATTCAGTGAGACCTCTGAAAGGGATTCTGTCTTCATTAATGCAATATGGTACAGGACATGATAATTCTGATTAGTAACACATCTAATTTCAGCAACACCAAATTAAAAGTATCAAATTCAGGCCAAAGAGACCTACAATGTACTAACCACAGATTTGTATCTCATAGAAATCACTACATTTATAACAAAATTAGAAAGTTATATATTTTTTGCAATTTTATCATTTTTAACCATAAAATGATAATTACTCAATATTGAATGGAAAAAGTAACATAATAGACTAAGTAATTCACATTTTATCTTAAGGTATTCAATGAAAATAGGGTCCATGAATGAAAAGATAAGGGTTTTTAATATGCTCTACTCTATACCTACAACTTGTAGGCTACAAGGTAAATAAGAATTATGTTTCAAAAACCAATTTTCACCATAAGGGGTATATAGGGTGGTTTGACAGTATGTAAATATCCTAGTCTATATCTATACGTAATGCTTCACATATTTTCTATACAAGCTTATATTTCCACAATAATAATACTACTCGAATTTATTCAATAGATTTCTAGAGAACTTAAGTAGAAATATTCTTGTTTACAACCTTCCTAATGCGCATCTTATAATCCTTACTTTTTACAAGCCCCTCAGTTTGTTTATGAGAGGTTTAAAGGCACTTAATTTCCCTCACACAAATACAGCTGTAGACTTCAGTGGACAAAATTATTTAAAAGTCAAACTTCTTTTAGGGGCTATGTAGTTACGTCTGAAAGAGATGTTAAGGAATGACTGTGTGGCATTCAAGGCCATCTGAATAGCAGCATCACCAAGAATTATGAAAAACCACCATCCTTTAGTGTAATATTGGGAAGTTTTCATCTTACTAAAATGATATTATTCAACTAATGTCAAAGTTTGATATTTCAAAAGACATTGAATTTCAATTTCATTCTCAGTTAAGTTTTTAATAGTCAACAACTTACTATAAGTTAATTATAAATCACATAGTATAACTGTGAACAACTCAAATATCTTTGTTACGTAGGCATACCTGATGATTAAAAAATACCATAAAAAAAAATGTTTGTATTAAATTGATCAGAGTAAACAATTTTAATTAAGTTTTTGGTGATGGGTGTACATAACTAATATAACCTGAAATTAAAACTTAACTAGAAAGTTTTATTTATGTTCCCTTATAAAAATTGTTTTTATCATGTTTATTTATATTGTATTGATTAGGGTTTAAAACGGACTGATTTTTGTTACACTAATAAAGCAATGGCTAAATATAGAAAACAACTCGAATACCTTCACTAACATAAGCACAACTAGAGTTTATAAATCAATTAAGATGTATGTTTGTACAGAATTGATCAGGGTATAAACCTAGGTTGTGGTTTGTGTAAGAACTAAGAACGTAATGTTAAACATGATGTAAGATAATGATTGGGTAAAACACAGACGGCAATCTCTGTTTACTTCTGGTAAAGTTCATGACGGACTAATAACCATATCCTTAACACTCCCTTTTTTGTATTTCACATATAGGTGTGTTGTCTATTCAATTCAGTCAAAATCAAAGATCTTAGGTCACACAAATTCATAGAAAGCTTTATTACTTCTGGTTTATAAGGCTTTTTTTTAATAAAGAGTAAGAATAAGGGCCAATGTTCCACACTCCCATGTTTGTTGCCTTATTCTAAGTTTATGTCAATTGAAAATACGATTTATCTTAGAAAAAGTTTTATCTTGAGTCAAACTTGTTCATGGTTTCTTCCAGATAGATGAATAATTTGGTAAGCTATGATGCAATGTAAGCATCATTGAGTATCACTGGATTGTGAAGTATTCAACAATCATAAAAATATCTAGGTGTTAATATTTGCAAAAAATTAAATCAACAATCTTTGTTCATCGCTAAATATATATATATAAAGTTTATATTAAGGTGTGTGTATAACCATTAAAATTCACTTAAGAAAAAAAATGTTTATGAAACGTTTAACCTTTTTTAATTCTTTGTAAGTTTTAGATTGATTAAAGAAGAAAATCATTCTCTTGAGTAAATTTTGCAATATTTTATTCAGGTTTTTGTTCTTTTTTGCACAAATATTTGCATAACAGAGTAAACGAACTGTAAATTCAAATTTAATTTCAGTTAATTTTGAAGAATGAACGCCTAAAAAGGCTCACTTAATCATTTCTATGACAAATCTGTATTGAAATCAGCAATTACTCTTTCAATTTATCAAATTATATCTGATTGGAAAACCTGTGATCCATAATAATTGTGTTGTCTATTTTTGAACTATGACGTTTTTTGGCTGGTGCACTGGTTGTTGGGATTAAACATGAATTCTAAAGGAAATAGAGCAAGATATATAATTTGGATGAAGATCATAATGACTCACCTCAGATTGATCATATCCTCTATCCCCTGCTCACTATCCTTTCTCTCCTGTGGCACCACCATTTTGATTGTTAGCTCTATTCTATCCTCTGTAACATAAAGATATAAAATGACAATCATAATGAATGGTTGACAGTTTTAAATCGTGCAATTTCTGTTAAGAATGTATATATAAAAGGAAATAAAATTAATGCGCCATATAAGGCTATTGTTCTGTTTTTAATTAGCTTTTATTTTTTAATATAGCCACTTCAGTTAGGATCTATAGACAGCCAATCAAATTCCTGCCCTCTCCAACACTGGGATTTTGTGACAAGAACAAAAAGTGCATTCAGTGTCTAATGCTTCTAAGAATACACCTTTTGTTAGTGTCACAAATCCCAGTGTTGGAGAGGACAGAAATTTGATTGTCATTAAACAGACGAATATTCAAGAAGATCATCTTTAGACCCTAACTGAAGCAGTTATATTAAAGACAAAAGCTAATAAAAAAAACGGAAAGAAAGTTTGGTCTAATTTTAAGGTAGAAAGCATGTACCTCAAGGGGCCAAATGAATATAGCTTCAGGTGATAAAATATCTTTATATTTTGCGAGACTAACAGTATTCAATGCATGAAGAGCTTGAACACTTACTGCCTCAAACAAACAGATATATTTTAAAGTTTTTCTATTTTTCTTTGATAAATATGAATTTGAATATGCATTTAAGAAATAAACATTATTTTATTTATATTTATGAATATAACCTTAAAAAGGGTTATAAAGACATAAACATATCAAATTAAAATCCATAAAAGAGTTGAGATAATGACTGATAGAGTGAGATAATGACTGATAATGACTGATAGAGTTAAGATAATGACTGATAGAGTTGAGATAATGACTGATAGAGTTGGATAATGTGTGAATACAGTTAAGATAATGACTGAATACAAATCTATAGATTTAAAATAATGACTGTATAGATTTAAAATAATGACTGTATAGATTTAAAATAATGACTGTATAGATTTAAGATAATGACTGTATAGATTTAAAATAATGAGTGTATAGATTTAAGATAATGACTGTATAGATTTAAAATAATGACTGTATAGATTTAAAATAATGACTGTATAGATTTAAAATAATGACTGTATAGATTTAAAATAATGACTGTATAGATTTAAAATAATGACTGTATAGATTTAAGATAATGACTGTATAGATTTAAGATAATGAGTGTATAGATTTAAAATAATGACTGTATAGATTTAAATAATGACTGTATAGATTTAAAATAATGACTGTATAGATTTAAAATAATGACTGTATAGATTTAAGATAATGACTGTATAGATTTAAGATAATGAGTGTATGAAGTTGAGATAATGACAGTTAGAGTTGGGATAATGTTTGAATAGAGTTGAGAAAATGACTGTGTGGAGTTGGGATAATGATTGTATAGAGTCGATATAATGGGTGTATAAAGTTTAGATAATGACTGTATAGAGTTGAGATAATGACTGTATAGAGTTGAGATAATGATTGTATAGAGTTGATATAATGACTATATATAGTTGAGATAATGACTGTTTATAGTTGAGATAATGCCTGCATGGAGTTGATATAAAGATTGTATAGAGCTGATATAAAGATTGTATAGAGCTGATATAACGACTTGTTGAGATAATGACTTATAAAGTTGAGATATTGACTTATGGGGGCGAGATAATGACTGTATAGAGTAGAGATAATGACTATATAGTGTTGAGATAATGACTATATATAGTTGAGATAATGACTATATATAGTTGAGATAATGACTGTNTATAGTTGAGATAATGACTGTATAGAGTTTAGATAATGGCTGCATGGAGTTGATATAAAGATTGTATAGAGCTGATATAACGACTTGTTGAGATAATGACTTATAAAGTTGAGATATTGACTTATGGGGGAGAGATCATGACTGTATAGAGTTGAGATAATGACTGTATAGAGTTGAGATAATGACTGTATAGAGTTAAGATAATGACTGTATAGAGTTGAGATAATGACTGTATAGAATTGAGATAATGACTGTATAAAATTTAGATAATGATTGTATAGAGTTGAGATAATGACTGTATAGAATTGAGATAATGACTTATAGAGTTGAGATAATGACTGTATAGAATTGAGATAATGATTGTATAGAGTTGAGATAATGACTGTATAGAATTGAGATAATAACTTATAGAGTTGAGATAATGACTGTATAGAATTGAGATAATGACTTATAGAGTTGAGATAATGACTGTATAGAATTGAGATAATAACTGTATAGAGTTGAGATAATGACTGTATAGAATTGAGATAATGACTTATAGAGTTGAGATAATGACTTATAGAGTTGAGATAATGATTGTATAGAGTTGAGATAATGACTGTATAGAATTGAGATAATGACTTATAGAGTTGAGATAATGACTTATAGAGTTGAGATAATGATTGTATAGAGTTGAGATAATGACTGTATAGAATTGAGATAATGATCGTATAGAGTAGAGTTAATGGCTGCATGAAGTTGATATAAAGATTGTTGAGATAGTGGCTGTATAGAGTTGAGATAATGACTTAAATTGTTGTACTACAAAGAATGAAGATAATAACTGAATTTAGTTATATAATTGAATATTGATCTATCACAATACAAGGTGTTATTAATGTCCTATATGCTATTGTATCTTTAATCTCTAGTCTATTATTCATACCATTTGTTATGTTTCTAGTTCAATATAGACCAGATTGAAATCCTTTCATATACGGATTGTATTTTAATCTATCAAGATGGCTTTTAATTCTGCAGGACTAAGCCCCTTTTGTAACTATCAGAATTGAGTGATCTTGAACTGAATTTTTTTAAACATTTCATGCACAAAATCCACATGATTTAAAGAAATTTTCTACAATAATGAAAACTGGTTCTTTTTTTAATCTGACCAGTACAGACAAAACTGCAAATCTGTTAATGCCTTTTAAGTTTTATTATCTTTAGGCATTTCTACTATTCACACAAAACTGCAAATTTAATGATGCCTTTTAAGTTTTATTATCTTTAGGCATTTGTATTATTCACACAAAACTGCAAATCTAATGATGCCTTTTAAGTTTTATTATCTTTAGGCATTTGTATCATTCACACAAAACTGCAAATCTAATATTGCCTTTTAAGTTTTATTATCTTTAGGCATTTCTACTATTCACACAAAACTGCAAATTTAATGATGCCTTTTAAGTTTTATTATCTTTAGGCATTTGTACTATTCACACAAAACTGCAAATCTAATATTGCCTTTTAAGTTTTATTATCTTTAGGCATTTGTATCATTCACACAAAACTGCAAATCTAATGATGCCTTTTAAGTTTTATTATCTTTAGGCATTTGTATTATTCACACAAAACTGCAAATTTAATGATGCCTTTTAAGTTTTATTATCTTTAGGCATTTCTACTATTCACACAAAACTGCAAATTTAATGATGCCTTTTAAGTTTTATTATCTTTAGGCATTTGTATTATTCACACAAAACTGCAAATCTAATATTGCCTTTTAAGTTTTATTATCTTTAGGCATTTGTACTATTCACACAAAACTGCAAATCTAATATTGCCTTTTAAGTTTTATTATCTTTAGGCATTTGTACTATTCACACAAAACTGCAAATCTAATGATGCCTTTTAAGTTTTACTATCTTTAGGCATTTGTATTATTCACACAAAACTGCAAATTTAATGATGCCTTTTAAGTTTTATTATCTTTAGGCATTTGTACTATTCACACAAAACTGCAAAGCTAATGATGCCTTTTAAGTTTTATTATCTTTAGGCATTTGTTATAGGTGTTATAGAAGATAATTTCCCTTATAGAAGCACTTGCCTAGGTCACAAGTAGAGACTATGGATTTCATCATGAAAACTATTTCAATTCAAACAGAATATGTTTTACTGAAGATTAATCATAGATTTTTACATCTGGAGAGATTACAAGAAAAAAATTTTTCATATTTATACTATTCTGTTCACAATTTCTTCTGATACAAATTCCAACTCGGAACTAGGAGATTCCAACTTTTAAACATTTGAGGAATTTAAGCCAAACCTTATACAAAACCTCTAGCTAATAACCCACTATTTAAATCTTGATATACAACTAGTTATTATTCTATAATCAATGGTATAGATTGAAATTGTATGTGATCCTGGAAGAAACAATCGTGTCCACCAGCAAGTAAAAGGCTCCTAGGAAATTTGACAGCTATAACCAATTACAATAGAATGTCAATCAAGAAAAATTTTTCAGCTTTAATAGAGACCACATATTGAGCATATTTGTAGAGATAATCTTCAATAGGTAATAATGATGTATTATGTGATATTATCATAACATATCAATCAAAATACCAGTTATATAGTTAAATATCTAGATCATAGGGTAGATATAAAATACCAATCAAATATTTTACTTGATCCATGGAATAGATAACAAACACTGGTCATAAGTTTTTCCAAGTAAAAAACAGCTTTAAGTCTGCCATTTATATCGTTAAGAAAGCCACATCAATCATACAATGGATTTTCCAACTTACTCAATATTTTCTATTCCACTTATAACAACCCTGCAGTGGCATTTCTATAAATCATTACAAGGAGGTGCTGAGTACGGGCCACCAGGCATTTAACAACTCACGATATGACATTTGATTTGATGAAGCTTTGGGCAAGGCACCTTAATATTTGCCCTAATAATACTGTATATATATAGTGATATATTTTATCTCTTTAGAAACCAAACCATGGCAAATGATTTAGATTTTTAACAAATAGATACCTAGAAAAATTACTTACATGACAAAATGGATATTCTCTATCTTAGAATCATTTTATACACATAATATTCCTTTTCAACATTTTATAATCCTTGTTCTATTCTGTCTAATCCATTTTAATCCTTTTTGATGTCTCTTTCTAGTGAAATCTGAAAAATGAAAACATTAATTTCAGTTTAAAGGTATTCACAGGGACATGGCATTTTAAAGG